CATCATTTCTTTAAAGAACTGGTCAATGCAACTCAGAGCAGTCAGAAGCTAAAGAAATGATAACTGAATGTATAATCCTCATTTTTTCAGAGTGGTGTTTCGCATAATTTCTCAAGAGACATGGATTCATGCGTCAGTGAACGCTTACATACCATAAAGACACATCTCCTCTCATCAAACTCCATCTTTACCAGTTCTTAAAGGGTTGCTTGTGTCTAAATCTAAGCTACATATTTAGATTGTACCTATGTTTGAAACTAAGCTAGACAAATTCTTATCTCACAATTTCCAAAGTAATAAATAAAGAATATATGTACATTAATATGGATTATATCATTATACATATATTTGATGCTGTTTCTTTTGAGAGTTTCCTTCTTAAATGTACATTCATCTTGAACTGACAGACGCCCTCTAACAATCTCATCCTGTCAGACTTCTGTACAGTGTTTGACACCCTAACCCTAACAGTCACAACATCCTACACAACAAAATGTATGTCATCACACTCAACCTTATAAAGCTTGATCCCAAAAAAAAATAAAGAGAATTTTTAAATCGTTTTTAGTCTGAAGTCTTTTTTTGGCCATTCAAGGATATATTTTACTTAAAATAAATTAATATAAATCCTTTTTGAAAATGTATAAATTATTACAGCACGATAAGTCAAAATTATTGTTGTGTAGTTTTCTGCACACAAGAGGTGCCAAACATTTCAGAAACCGTGTGCAGATAAGATGAACTTTAACCCTAAAATACCATATGTATCACATGATACAGTTTTTGCAACTCAACCTCTTAACCTGATTTGGCCCCTCTAACAGAAATAAACATGCTCGATCCAGGCATTGGCTACTTTATATTCTTTTCTTTTTAAAAATCCTATTCATGAACAGTTTTAACGAAAGACTTATTTTAGTTAAATCAACACTGTCATCTCTAGCAGAATCTGACTAGGGATTTCCTTCCATGTAGCTTATTGTTAACTTTGATGTTAACTGTAATGTTGTATCTGCATTGTGAGTCACTTTGCATGAAAGCAGAAATGCATGAACATAGTAAAGGCAGATTCTTTTCTTCTCCTTTTTTTGTCTGTTTGATTAATTTTTTCGATGTCATTAACATGAAAAGATGGCTCTTATGTCATGTTCAAATGAGGAAGCACGTTTAATTCATTGCTCTTTATGTTTATGCATTTAGCAGACGCTTTTATCCAAAGCGACTCACAAAGTAGACACAATTTCATAGTTATCATCAACATAACAATAAGTTCTCCGGAGGAAAATCCTAGTCAAAATCAGTGGTGACAGCAAGAGAGAGAGAAGGAACTGCAGAAAGAGTAGCACGGGGTATAGAGGTATGGGTAAGAGCTAGGATAAGCTTTGGTCTTTAAGAGTTTCCTGAAGTTGGGTGGGAATTGTTGGGTTCACTTCAGAGTAGGGTCTGACCTGCTCTGTGTGGAAAGCGCTGTGAGACAACTGTTGTTGTGATGTGGTGCTATATAAATAAAATTGGATTTAATTTAATTTAAAAGATAGACAGGGACACTGCTGTTCTTGTAGCGCTTTGTAGGTCATTCCACCATTTCTTGATTGTCTTAAGCGCAGTGTAGGCAATGCTAGACGACAATCCGTTGATGACCGGAGTGACTGAGTTGTGACATAAGCCTTTGCAAGAGGGTTCAAGAAGACGGGAGCCGAACCCTTAAGCACTTTGTAGGCTAGCATCAGGAACTTGAGTTTGATGCGGGCATCCAGGGGTAACCAGAGAAGCTCAATGAACAGAGGGGTGACGTGAGACTTTTCGGGCTGATTGAAGACCAGCCGCGCCGCCGTGTTCTGGATCATTTTTAACGGTTTTACTGTACAGGCTGGGAGACCAGTCAGGAGTGCGTTGCAATAGTCAAGGCGGGAGATAACCATAGACTGCACTAGGAACTGGGTACCGTGTTGGGTTAGGTATGGCCGGATCTTTCTTATGTTTAGTAGCGTGAAGCGACAAGTTCGAGAGACCGAGGTGACATAATCTTTAAAGATCAACTTTAAGGGTCAAGTTTCTCTCTGCCTTTGATGGAGTCAGAGACAGGGATCCAGTCTGGATGTGAATATTGTGTGTATGGTTGGTTTGGCTGGGAAAACAAGCAGTTCAGTTTCACTTTCACTCTCCATGTGCATTTTGCAAAGTATGGCTTGTAGCAACACTGATATCTTTTGTCAAAGCAACAATCTGGATTGTGACATTTTGGAGAAAAGCACTCCCTTGAACTCATTTCATACAAACTGCTTTAGTTACAAAAAATCTTAAGAGAGCCTCTCCCTTTTTCTTTTTGAGAAAAGAGGTTAGTTTACAGATTTTAAAGTTTTTCTTTAGCTCTTTAGAAGAGCTCTGAAAGTGTCCATTTGTCAGTTTTTAACACTAACTGAGAAGGGACCAGATTGATTGTTTTCACTTTTTTTTAAATCCCCTTTTTATGTCTGCGTAGAACTTCATGAAGACAATTTACTGGCTTGACATAACAACACAAATTTGTGTGAAATGTTGGGATTGATTTGCTTTGTGCTTCATTTCCAATACCACAGCTAGCTAACACACAGACACACAGACATGGACACAGCAAACGCTTTTTGCCGTCCTTTGAAAAACAGCCAGTGTTGAAAAGCTGCAGGGGGTTTCTAATCTTGATGGACAATAGGTCTCAATCAGTTTCTTTTTCCATTGAAACTCAGCTGAAAATGAGGAAACTAAAAGTTAAAGGAATTGCGATGAAAATTCAACAATTTAAAATGACTACCACTCAAAAAACTCACTACAATATTTAATATTTGTTCAGTGTATATCATGAGTTTAAGAGCTAGAGGTCCAACAGTGATAGATTACATTGCAGTCCAATTTACAGTTCCTAAGAATATATCAACTGGTCAGTTTTTCTATTGTTGTACACAAAACTTAGCCCTTTATGACAAAAATGGTTTCCATCTTTTATTTTATATGACTATTGATGCAACTGTCAAAAGCAGGAAAGAGAAGGTATTAAAAAAAGTTTAGAAAAATGTTGACTTGTTCAGATCCCCTGCAACCCTGCTCGGAGTAAGCAATATAGATAAAGGTTGATTGGGTGAAAAACATTACTAAGGTCAAGAATGAACAGAGAAAATTGTAAATGAAATAATTAATAAAAATCAAGCGAGCGAAACTACACTTGGAAAAAAATTAAATATAATCTAACACAGTGGATATTTATTTCTAAACAAGTACACGGGATGCAGGCAGGTGATAGGAACAGGAACTGAAAACTAAATATAAAGACAGCAATTAGCATCATACTATTTAAAATATCATCGTTTGACTGAACTGTGACAGCTGGTTATTTCTACATCAATAGTGTTTGTGGAGCATGTTCTTAAAAGAATGTTATTTAAAGTTTAAATAATATATACTAGACTGTGGTCTTAGGTGATACATCTCATTTGATTGCTGGGTTTTCTAAAAAAGTGCTTTGCTCTGATTTCTTTGAGCAGTTTGTCGAATTGACCAGTCCTATGGTTGTAAACTGCCATTGAAATATACATTTTAAGTGTAATTGAGTATGTATATGTTATGGAAGATAAGCAAAAAACTACAGTTTTCTTATTTGAAATACAGTCATGGATTATATACTATATAAAGCTATATACCCTTTTGCCGCAAAAATACACTTGACATGTTAAGCTTTTATCAGCATCACCCTTTTGATGCACAATTCATACTCATGAGTTGTTGCTTTTTCTACATTTACGCTTATATGAAGTTCAAAGTCTTACAGGAAACTTGCAAGCAGGAAGACTCAACCAACATAGTGATCTCACAAGTTATTTGCATCAAAACCTCAGTTCGGTTGAGTTGAGCAGCTGCAGACTGACAAATACACCAGTAAGCCTTGCTGTTCGACGCCTCGATGTTTTCGAAGTGTTGTGTCCGTTTTCCCAGATGTGGCAGATTTAAAGGTAAGAAAACTCCAAACCGAGCTGCCTCATTCAGGCACAGTCAGGTCTTTTTAGTCAATGGTGAGCTTTATGGATGAAAGCTATTTGCTTTTTAGTAACAATATAGAAAAGGTCACTGAACTGATGAACAGTCCATATGTTAAATCTGCAGACTCTGGGAGGGCTATGCAATTTTAATAAGGCTTTACACATGAAAAGTATTTAGCACATTGCCAGTTTATTGCATAGTTTTGGAACACTGCAATCTTTTTCAGAATTTAAAATGCTTTGTTGGTACAGGGACTATCCTACATTGGTTGTAAAGGAACAACAACAGTACTCAACAGAAGAAAAGAGCATGCTGTAACCTGATCGCTGCTGAGAAAATCACAAATGCCCCTTGGGATTACAACATCAAGCAAAAACTCTGTGTTGAGCTTCTGCCACAAAACCAAGTCTGTCAGATCTGCAGATTGTGGATGCTGTTGTTTGCCACATTAGATTAGGCCATGACAAATAAAAGGCCAAACCAAAAGTGAAACGAACCTTAAAGCCCCTCAAACTGCTTGTTTGTTACTTATAAGGCAATGTAGACAATGACCTTTTAGTTGAGCAACGTCATTTGTTTTGTGAAGAAAGAACATGTTCACGCACGCAGCCAAATGAGCAACAGCAACAGAGACTACCAACGAGGCTCTTTTAGAGCGCAAGTTAGACTTCACAAACGTCTATTTATATAAACATTGAAATTCTGCAAAGTGTCAGACAGGATTTTTTTTCCTTTCTGTTCATTTCACAAAGTGAATAATTTAGTAATGGATGAAGTTAATTAAAGTGTTGCACTCTTGAGGGGTAGTAGTTTTTTTTGCTTAATAATGGTGTTTTGCAAAAAAAACTAAGGGGATTCCCAGATTTTGATGGTCAGTAGAGCAGTCTGTACTGCATTTCATAACCATCTCAGTCAGAGACCAGCGCTTGCCCCCGCACTGGTGTCTCAGATTAGTATGGCATTAAAGTGTGTGTGTGTGTGTGTGTGGAGGAGGAGGGGTTTGGACTTTCCACTGCACTCCATCCTTAGAGCAGGAGGAGCTTGTTGGAGCTTTAAAGGAACCCCACTGTACACTCACTCTCAGAGCAGCAACTGTGAGATCAGGGTGAGTTATATTTGGGGCCAGATAAAAAACTTATTCAGTTGTGTGTATGTCTGTCTGTCTGTTGCTTTTTGATAGCATGCTCTCGACAAAGTTTCCATAAAATCTAATGACAGTTATTGCTTTTTTTCATATTCAAAGCAAAGTACAAGTGTAATGCAATTTTTTTTTGCATTTCTTATTAATTGTTCTGTTTCTGAATGTGATGTCTTTGTTTTCTTTAACTATGTTTCGTGAATAAAAAAATAGTTATATAGATTTTGTTAACCCACTGGGGTATTATTTAAAGCCACTCTCTCTTTTGCATCTTCATTGCGACTGAATTGGATGTTGGCAACTTTCCTGAAAACAATTCCTGAAGCTAGCGTCATGTTTTCCATGTATGCTTTTAATTAAGGGAATATCAGCAAACTTGCAAACCTTCGTGAGACTTGTCATAGTCAACTTTTCATGTTGATTGTTCTCCTTACTGACTAACTTTTTCTCTCAACGCTCAGATCTGTCAGCACCCTTCCAGCTCTGTTGGTCCTGTGCCAGCGATCCAAGCCAGTCAGATCCAAACATGCGGATTCACTCTGCATCAGAAGGCTTGTCAGACCGGATAAACAACCACCCAAATCCAAGAGGGATAGCCGCTGGAGGGTGGCTCAGAGGAACATTTCAGAGGTTTCGAAGGCAACCCAACCCTGATGTTAAGACTCCCTCTTCTGAAGATAAACAGCCCTCATCTTTTGATGGAAAACGTCCAGTTGGTGAGAGATGGCATTCAGTTTTGTGATTGCGTAACATTACCATCGTTATCTACTTTTAAGCTCCATATTGCGTACTTTTTTTTATGAAATAACTGTAAACAGACACACTGGCACTCAGATGGCCAAAGGTCATCTAATCAAATTGATTGGGATTTTTTTCCCAAATACATCAAGCTATTAGACTTTAGATGATTGAAGTAATTGGCATATTTCTAATCAAACTTTTCCATTTCCATCAATATCGTACAACCGTTAAGGAATTAAGCCATTAAAGGAAGAGTGTCGTTACAGCTTATAATTTCAACGTTTTTTTCCTACAGTGATTCCAACATTTGAGCGGCTTCTTGAGGAACGCCACCTGCACGAGGCCAGCCTTTTGCTGATAGACAGAGAAAATCACCTCTTTGGGGAGATAACAGAGGAAGAGGCACTTAAACATCATGCAGAAGAGGTGGACAAGCTCGCTGAAGACCGCAAAGCCCTGGAAACCGTTTTGTGGGAGACCGTACAGCGGAGTTTGTCTCTCAGCTCGGACGAAACCGAGGATGCAGCAGTTTTAGCATCCGCCGTGAAGGCCATATACCGAGAGGAGGAGCAGGACCAGCTGTGGAAGCACGTGGAATGCAGGAGTCCCAGCAACTGGAAGAAGCGTCACGATTCCATCCTTCGAGAGTTGGTGGAAAGCCGAATGGACAACCCATTGTTGGTCTCGCTTGTCAAGGAAAAGCAGTCCTCTATCCAGTCGGACATCCACTGCATGGGCAGGCAGCTAAAGGAGGATTTGCTCATTGTGGTCCAGGTGGTGAAGAGCTGCTACCCACCAGAGGCAGACATCTGTAATTTTTATGCCGCAGCCTATCATCGAGCCCTCAGTGCGAGACTCAAAAAGATTGCAGAATTTGTTTTAGAGGACACCGATTGCACTTCTCTCCTGCGCTGGGTGAATCACTATTATCCGGGGTAAGACAATAATTTGAACCAAATTCTGCAAATGTAATTGCTGTTAAGTCAACAGGTCTTTGGCCATGTTATCCTCTCTGTCAACACTTAAATTAGCTTTTATTTATGCGAAAGTGTTGCCTGAAATTTTGAATTTTACAAAAGATAATCAATCTTGTAGCTTTGAATCAATTAACACAGTCACAGGTTGTTGTTATGACTTTAAATGAGCAATTTGTAGTCTGGTCTTGATATAGAAAAAAACATTTAAAACGGTGCTTTCTCCGTCTTGCCTCTGAAGGATACTAAAATCCACTATGGCATTTGCTTTATAGTGTCCAAAGGTTTGCCAAATCCGCTTGATTTCCCCAGATAATCTGCCTTAAGGGGTGTCAATTAAAGTATCTGTCATATCTCTTTTCTATGCCAGAATCCTTCAAAAGCCAGAACTGGCATCTGAGATCGACGATGCAGCACTAGGAAAGCTGCTCCCAAATGAACTCCTGGAGCCCCTGGAGGAGCAATATCTCACCAGGGAAATGGTAACCGGATCTTATACTAATTCATCACAGAGAATTGTTTGTTTGTTTTGCTCTACTGTCAGACAGTCAAAAAATATCAACTGACCTTTAAAACAATACCAAATGGTATGTGGCTGGAAACCAAAGTGTCTCAGCCCCTGGGGATGTCAACACAAAAGTCAAAACACTCCAAAACAAACTTGACAAATTATCATACTAAACTATGTTGTGTAACAATTTAGCTTGCGCAGTAGAGCCATTACACAGATGTGGGCTTTCCAGCTCTCCATTTGTGTTGAAATGTGTTGAATCAAATATACTATATTTAGCACAAAATCAAAAGAGAGTTTTGAGATCAGACTTTCTGTTTTATGAACACTTTGACTAATGGTTGAACTATAGGCTTAAGTTATTATCGAATATATAAATAAAACTGTGAAGAAAAGTTTCTCTTTATATGACGTCTGTGTGAAAAGCTGCACACTTATTACGTCAATCAATGGAGTGGAATCTTGTTATGTGTTCAGAGTGAGCTGTCACTGTGTATGAGCCAAGTCCTGGAGAACGATATAAAAAAATGGAGCCAAGGAGAGGAACCAATGAGAGAAGACGGTTGCTACACCAGTCATCTGGCCTATGACATCATTCAGGTAACTCAGACAACTCAACTTTTTTTTTTAAAGAGAATAAAAACATTGGAGAGATTCTCACTGAAAGGAGTTTTAGGTCAACTAAATCACACAAATCACACAAAAACATGCATGCGTGGTTTTCACATGAAGATTGTGTAGTGTTCTGGTACACAGTTCGAAAAACAGGAAGCAAGTTGTTCATAATATGTTCCTGCCTGTTTCAGATTAACAGGTGTGAGATTAAAAAAATCTAAAGAAAAAAATGTCAGAGACCCCATACACAAAGTTAGATGACTAGTCAACTAGAAAACCGGGACTTTTTCTTGAGGGAAAAAACTTGACTTGCCTTAACAGGGAGCACGTCTCACATGGAAATCCCATTGTTAAAGATTTACTATTGGGTTCAGTTAGTTTAGCAGTGCATGAGCATTCTGGGGGAAGATGGCCACGCGAGGTGCATTAGATGCTTTGCTGTCTTCCCTAATTGCTGTCCTCCATCTGCCTACAGTTCATCAATGGTATAGTGACAAGAGCTGAAACAACTACTGGAAGTCTACACAAAGCCCAGACGACAACATGCCAACTCACAGATTTATTGCAGAGGTAAGAAGACCCATCATTGTCTCTAAGATATTTTAAAAAATACAAACAAAAACTTCAGACTTTGATTATAACAAACACAATTCCATGCAGGTTTAAAAGCTTTCAGGAAGACATCATCAAGCAAAACAGATCCAACAGCAAAGCACACATCAAGGCAAACCTTGGCTGCATTGAACAGTTCAGGTACGTTTCAGATCTGACAACAGGGAGATTGTATATAAATGAACGCACCATGACATCAGAACACATTTGCCATGAGCTTATATGCCTTTTTTGGCCTGTTCGCAGGGATGTCCTCCAAAGGAAAAAACACTTGTTCACAGCTGATGTGCAGCAAAACTGTTTGAGTGTTCTGACCGACATGAAGCAATCCGCCCATGTGTATTTATTAAGCCCTGTACACAAGGTTCTCAAGGTAAGCAGGCAAAACGCACACGGAAATGAAGAAGTAAATGTTTTGTTGTTTCCGTAGAACAGTGGTGATTTCTGAGGTGAAAGTCAAAGGTTATAAATACTTGTTTCTTTAACGCAGCCACAGTACCAGAAGTTGGGAACCAGCGACTGGCTGAAAAAGAATGCGTTTGATAAACTACAAAGTAGCATTGAAAAAGAGCTCCAGGATCTTCAGGGGTTAGTACAACCCTGTCAGGAGGTAAAGACTTATTCTTAAGAAAAAGACCATGTCTACCCTATTTATTTAGTAGTTTATTGTCAATAGAAATAAAAAATTGTGATTTTTTTATTACATTTCTGGTTTACTTTCAGGAGCTGATAGGCCAGCTTCATCAGGAAGTGACAGTACAGTATGTCAAGAGGCTCCTAAGGGGAGACGTCAAACTGAAGGACAGAGAGCAGCAACATTGGGCTTGCGCTACTGTTATGGACAATGCAGAGAGTTTGCAGATGCTGTTCAGCAAAATGGTGAGTATTAACAATCTTTCAGAGCGATTTAGCCTATAGTACACCGATAAGGCCGTTGATAAAAAACAAAACAAATAAAAAAGGCCCAAATTTGAACATTTTTAAACAGATTGTGACAACATTAAAGGAGTACTTTTACCACATATTTTAATATTAATGCAATAATCTATGCAGAGTTAATAATGAATTTTAAGTGATTCAACTGCTATTAAACAAGAGATCAATAAAACATTTGTAACTAACCTCAGCACGCTCTTTACAAGTCAAAAACAATAAGCAGAAGCATCAGAGAATGTTTTTTTTAATTGCTCTGTAGGGATCAAAGGAAATCTGGTTGAAGGAAATCCTGACCACAATTGCGGAAGTATTGAAACTCCAAGATATCCCAGCCATTCAGATGCAAGTAGTTTCCATGGTATCTGCTCATCCTGACCTGAGGTAATATCCACACTCCTTCTTTTAGGGTTAGGGTTAGTAAACCACTTGCATATCAAAAAGACAAAGGTATTTGGGCTTTCATTTGTTTAAGATCTACTGTCGAGTGTGTAACTGAGCTCATGAGGTTTAAATAGCATCATGACATTTTTAGTTTACATGATTTAATAATGGAGATAAACAAGCTTGGCAGCCCAAATTGTTGTTGCAACAGGGTTAGAGGCATCGTGAGACAAATCTGAGCTGAAAGCAGACTGCAGTAGGAAGTGGTTTCTAAAATATTTAGTCTGTGAGGAAATTGTGAACTGAATTTAAACAAAACCACTACCCAATCAGCGTAGCTTAGCAGAAAGACTGGAAACAAGATGTAGCGGTCAGCATGGACTCAATTTAGGGGGACGCCCTCCAATCAGCAAGACTAAAAGTAAGGAATTCAAATCTGATATCCAATTAGATTTAAATCAGTCCTTAAACAGAACTCTAGTTATTGTTTTTTCATGGGGTTAATTACCAGAAATATGGCTTAGCAGCCCTCTGCCCAGACTTTTGGTATATGTGTGTAGTTTTATTCTCAGAGGGCCAGTCATTTAACTCTCAATTGGTTACCCAAAGAGTCCAGAATGCCACAGCGGTTCATCTGAATATCTATTTATTTTTTCAATAGTGAAGGGTCCAGCAAAATTGTCCCTAAAACAAAAAAAAGATGTTAATAGTTGTTTCTTTTGTTTGGTATGTGGTTTCAATGTGGCAACCTGAACCTTACCACCATCACGATTGTCATAGTAGGCAAAGCAATAAATGCGTCACATGATGAAAAGGCTGAGTTTCTTCTCTTCTTTCATCCACAGCGAGAGACACATTTCAGCCCTGCTGAAACTCAAAACAAACCTCTCCAAAGCTGAAAGGAGAACCGTCAAAGCAACTCTTGTGGACGCTTTGAAAGCAATAGACTCTGATGTGCACTCTCGGCCATTTTTCTCCAAAGTTGAGGTCAGATGAGCCGTGCACATTTCTTCCGTGGTGCAGCCAGGTTGTACAGAATTAAGTCTTGTATTTTTTTCTATGGTGTTTGACACTGGTGTTTTAAGCTAATCATTGTTGGAAATAAGTAAAAGCAGTTTAAGGCAAACATGTGCACAAAGAGATTATTTGTTATGTGCTTCCATGATGATGAAATGAAGGTGGTAGCTAAGGGTCAGTTCTCAATTGTGCTAATTGTGCTGTTTTTACAAAATTCAGGTCAGTGCTCGAAGAGCTATTCTTAGTTTATTGTATAGATAGTTTCTATTTTCAAATCAAAGTGACCTATGTCTTGCCACGAACAGAGTGTATGTAAATAAGACATGTATCACATTGCATGCTCTATTTGTCAGTTTGTCATATTGAGAATGTAAGTTACATAAAAAAATAAATATGGTGAAGCTTTAAAACCTGAACTTGTATCTTACATTTAACTATAATTTTTCGCTGGGCATTTAGACGCATTTATACAACTGTCTTTGCTGCAAGGACATAGAGCAAAGACCAATTCTTCATAAATCTCTGACAACATAATGCAAGGTTGTGCGTAAATCTGCTTGTACAACACAAAACAACATAAAACATTTGATATGAAAGGGAGCATGAGGAAAATGCTGTTGCCTAAGTTGACCATATGTCCGACTATATTGCTGTTTCTGTTTACTTGTTCCACTGGCATTGTGGGGCAACGCCCATGTCTTTTTTTATCAGTTGGGTGTGATGTCAAAGCACTAACAACTAACTCAACATGTCACATTCAATCTCTTCTCATTTGCCATCCCCAGTTTCCCAAAAGAAGCAAAAAGTGTCACAAAAAATGACAATAAGGAATACAGAAACTGAAGGCCAGCAAAGAATAGAAGAAGATCTGTGTTCTTGATTTATAAACACCTTAAAAACAATGCTGAATTTTGCTTTGTAAATTAATACCAGTTCATTAGAAGACGCACAATGCACAGAAATGACTGGTGCTAGCTTTGGTGTTTGGTCACAAAGCACAGAACGTTATGTATTTTTTTCTAGGTAAGGCTGGAAATCATCCTCTGGGTGTCATAAACATCTAAGGATGATGGCTTTTAGACGGGCATAAAAGAAAACAAAAGACTCATGAAAATATATTGTTCTTCTCTCTTGTGGTCACACTTCCAGCAAGGCCAGAAAACATTGCACTGCACAAACAAGATGTCTTTGAAGTCATTTTCTCAAGTGGGAAAATACGCTGCATGAAAAAACTTGGTCTGGGATTGATTAACACCCCTGCTATACAGTTCATTGTAAATTAGTCACTAATGTGGGAGGCAGGCAACAACCTCAAACAATTCCAGGAAATCATTAATGGCCCCTTGTGTGGGAAGTGAGTTGCTTCCCCGAGCTTAGGAGATTCCAGTTTATTTGTTCTAACAACTGCTAACATTCGCTCCTGAAGACCATGGAAAGCTACAGAAGGCGTTGGAATGACCTACAGACTGTTGCTTTTCCCTGACAGACAGCTGAGAGGAAGGATATGTCTATTGTAGATAGAGTAAGGGGTGAAGGATGATAAGCTATTTAGAGCATTCCTGGCAATGAACTTGCAGGAAATTTGCCGGCCTGGAAATTCCATGATATTTTCCTGCTGTCAGTTGCAGACCCACACACATTTTACTCAGACACACTCAACTTTAACAAATCAACTAATAATAATTCTTGATTTTTACGTCTTAATCTTTTCATTAGGTTAAAAAAAAAGCCAACATGGGCATGGTGAGTTGTTTGCTATATGCTAGATTTTCCCATTACCATGGCAATGCAGAGTATGCCAATGGGGTGTTTGGTATGGTCTCCAAACAATTTAAACGGCATTGTTGTTGTTTGTGAGGTAGAAGTAAACACATATGGTAACACAATATTGTTCATTCACAAGACTGTGACAGCGTCAGAGAGGTTTTCAAATCCATACGTGGAATGTATCAATCAAGAATAGAAGCAGCTTGATAACTCTGAACAGCCATCAGACGAGGCGGCACAGTGAAACTTGAACAACATTTGTGGATGCTGGTACAGTACCAAGACAGCAAAAAAACAGTTACACAATCTCATTTTTCCTTATAACAACTGAAAGTAACAACAACACCTGTTTCCTGATGATTCTGATCTCAAAAGCTACTAATTGGTTTGGAAGAGCCAACAATCATTGTTAGACTATGAAGAAAACATTAGGGGAAATAAACATTTGCGGAGTAAAGGAGAATGTCAGGGTCACGTTTCAAAACCGTTACAAAGCAACGGGTGAGAGTCTTTCCATCATAAATGTGCATAAGGGTATGATTTTCTCCTTTTTTTTAAAGAAAGCAAACAAATGAGCCCCATTTTCATTATACTGATATGATAACATGATAACAATGACAAACAAATCTATGTTAAATGTTATGCTAGGAACTGTTTTAATGTTTTATACCAAAGTTTTCCAAAATCTCTTTTATAAAAATGTAAATTTAATAGAAAAAGGAATATATCAATATAATTGTATCATCTTCCATGTAATATATGTATTGGATCATCTGAGGTGGCAATACACATCGATGCTAACAAGCATTCATTGGTCAAATACTTGATATCAAATTATCTACAACAGCACTAATGAGTTAGTGGTTTGTTTATGGCTAAATTACAATGTTGCAAGAATAAACAAAAATAGATAACATAGAAAAGGCTTGATTGCTTTAACTTTAAACAACAACACACCGTCACAGCTAACATCCACTAATGATTTTCCTGTCGTCACTGGCAATTTAGTTCATCAGATAAATGATCAGTTTTCAACCCTGCAAAGGTTTGTGTCTTCAGATACGAAAGTTAGTCATATTTTTTTTTTTTTCGAATGAATTCTTCTTTTACTTTTCTTTATATTTTTTGTCATTATGCATTCTTTAAACCAATTTTCTTTTTACAAATTTGAGTAAACAGGCTGAATGTGTCTACTTGTCTACTATTTGACCAGGTCTCTGAGAGCTGTTGACCTCTGACTGACTGTTGTTTCTCAAATGGTCCCAATAACTACATGAAACTGTTCATTTAAATAGAAACATTTATTTATTCGGCAGTAGAGTCCCATTTCCCAAATGAGCAACAATTCACCAGAAACATTTCATTAAAAAAACATTTCAAGTTAGGCAAAACTAACATACTTAAAAAAAAGAGCTGTAAAACAGCTCTCTTTCTTCCTTTTTCTTTGTAAAAGTTCAATACGGTAAGAAGAATAACGGAATGAGTCATTCATGGTGTTTGTGTAATTTCTGTGAGTTTTATCAAATAAATAAATGTTATATAAATAAAACCTTATACATATTTGTATGTAAGTAATAATTTATCCATCCCTTTAGGATTGCAAAGGAATAGAGCCTATGCATCTACCATTAGGATAAAGGCTGTAAAGGCTACACTATGAACAAGTTGCCAGTCTATCAAAGGGCTAACACAGAAACAAACTACCATGAACACTGACACCAAAAGTCAAATAGATTAGCAAACAAAATTATCTTTGCTGGCAAGGAACATATTTTCTACTTTCGCAATTCATATCAGTGCTACTTTTGCTTGTTCTACAAATGAAATGCACATGTCTTCACATGCTTAATTACAACACTCGACATACGAACACCCTGCAATTCCGTCTCATCTTTTCATCTGTGTGCCTCGAGGTTTAATTAGTAACGGAGAAAGTGACATAACAAGTTTGGGATGTCTCGACAACCTGTTTTATCCTGCACAGTAGCTCAACGACAGCAGACAAAACAAAAAAATGACGATCCGGAACTGGTGGTACTGCCCGGTAGAGCTTCCATCACCTCTTGGACCTCCCTTTTGGAATGCCCCTTCCACTTAATCAAGGCGGGGAAGAGCTCCAGGTCCTCTCTGATGACAGAGAAAAAGTACCCTGCTGTTAGTAACACATAGTTACTCTAATGACCCCCCCCACACACACACACACCCCACATCCTTCCCCTGAAGCGATAAGAGCCAATCCACAGGAAGTGAAAAACCTCTTATTTTGTTCTAGTGTTCTAGTTGTTACAAAATTGATTCACTTTTACCTTCGGTGATAACAAACAACTAGAGACACAGATATGTCATCTGTCATTTTTAATAATTTATTCCTTAAGCATTGATAAAACTGTACAATTTCCAGTAGATCTGATCTTTAAAGGATATAGGTTTTTGAAGGCAAATGTGCCCGTTCAGGGGATTTTTGGAATTTTGACAGCTCAATGGAAAACCATGATATAACTGAAGAGAATATCATTCGAACAGAAGTTGATCTTGAAGGCATTTTTGGCTTTGTGCAGTTTAAGTCTTGAAGAATTAGACCGTGAGTCATGCCATAGCAGTGGTGATAAACAGCACACCCAGCCTTCCAATATCTACTCTGATCATCATTCCATAATGCTATTCAGATCCAGGCAAGAACACCCTAAAAGGCTTAGTTCTGGCTCATCTGTTTCTGCTCTGTGAATCTTTTCATGGGCGGCTTAAACATGTACTTGGTACTGAATGGTACAAATGTGTGGCTGAGTAATTTACCTCTGACTCATTCTCTTGCTCAGTATCTTTGCCATTGTGAGCTTCAGCCCATCAATGCATTTACACTCCAGGATTTCTGGGATGCTGCGCAGAATGGAATGCCAGGAATGCACACCAGGAGCCTGACACACCACAGCAAGACGAATAGAGATATTAACATTAACAATACATGTGTTTGTTTGTTTTTTCGCGGGTGACTATTTCCAAAGCGGTGATCTCACCAGATCTGAGAATGTTCTGTGAAGCTGATCTGCATCGGAAACTACTCTGTAGGGAAAAGAAGGATCCCAGCGTCTCAGTTTTCGATGACTGAATTGTATGAGATGCTTTAGGTAGGCATAAGAAATGGTCTTATATGCCTCATCCATCACCATCTAAGAGACAGAAAGACAAATCATTCAGAGATGGAGGTTAGTTGGACTTTTTCCTTTTCTAAAAACTGCATGCAGATTGACCAAAAAAAATAAATAATGGACAAAGGCTAGTTATGCATATTTTGCAACTCATTAGCAGGCATTATTTGGTATATTTGCCATTTGGGGAATGGCCTCACCTTTTGTTCTTCCACAACAAACAACAGCTTTGGGAATTGGGTATTTAAGTGACCAAGCTTCAAGAATTGGCTGCGCCTTGTGAAGTAACCTTTAAGTTGTCTCTGCCAGAAGGAAAATGTGTTTGAATTGTTATTTAAGCATTTTTCATTAGAAGAATGAATATATATTCTATTTATTCTGTCCAATGCTAAAGTGGTCCATATGAAACGTGGCTAACTTAGGCATTTACCTCTACATCATCAGCCATTGTTTTCGTCAGGAGTTTTAAAGTGAAAGTTTCCATGTTTTCTAAAATTGTCACGGTTTCCTCGAGAATGGGGATCTGGATACCAGCTCCTTTGATCGCAATGTACTTTCTAAACGAAAACAGAGTAAAAGAACCATAATTTACTATAATTAGCAGTATTTTGCAATGTTGCCCAATCTAAATTAGTATAATTTACTATACTGACCACTGTTAGAGAAACAGTATAGGCTAGTCTTTAAAAACTCACTTGATTTCTTTACATGTTTTCATGGTCTTGAGGAACACCATTGTTTCAAGTTCAGTCCCTGACTCCTTTCCATTCTGCACCCTTGTATTCAGAAGCTCTTTCTGCTCTACCGTGTACCTTCAAAAGAAAAAAAAACGTAATTAATAAAAAGCAACATGCAGTGTTTTATTTGTTGTCATGACATTTTATAATTCACTGAAAAATGTATTTGCAAATGAATAATCAACACTTACTTCTTCACAAACACATGCAGCTCTTGGAAACAAATATCCTGCACTTGAATTAAAAGTCCTGAGTTTATTTTCTTGACTTCCGTCAGGATCGCATCAATGTACTTGAAGAACAAAATAGGAGACACATTTTTTTTAGCGCACTGATAAACATTTCAAAATGGAAAACAGTAATAATTCTAGCAGTTATCAATTATTTGAGACACGAAACACACAAATACAATATTTTAACTTACCTGAACAATGTCAATACAAAGTCCAATATAAGTTTCCTCATTATTACATTTTTGGTTTCTATCAGCTTCGAGAATTTTAAGGAGAGATTCACTGAGGCATTCCTGAAGGACACAAAAGACAGAGATATAAAACATTAACTAAGTCTGAGGTGTGACACAGGGAAAGTTTGTTAAAGTAATTGAGCATTTTCAATATGAAAGAAGTCGTTCTAGATAACCCAGATGTTCCCTAATGACCCCCGGCTTTTTCAACAGGATTCAGAGTTTTAAATGAATAAAAAGCCTTCTTTCGGTTGCTAAACTGAAAAATTTGCAATGTTGCGGAGGAAGCATGGTAAAAACAGCTTATTCTATTCAAAGAAGAAATAAGAAATAAAGATAAAAAAATTGGACACAAAATAAGAAGTTACAAAAGGCTACAAAATAAACAAAAATTGGGTTTTTTTGGTTGGATAAACTACCTGTACAAGCAGGCAATATAGGACAAAAGTCTACTTGAAAAGATGATGAAAACAAACTTGAAAAACTTCAGTGACAGACATTTGATTAATGTTGAAAGCTCTGTAAGATATCTTTGAGTGTAGTGACACTTTGTGGTCACTGGCGGCATTGTCAGATACCAGCAATAAAGCAATAAAGTGTAATCAGCAATAGTTTTATTGTTTATAAAGCAAGCACTCCTTCTAAAATTGAAATAGTTTTCGATAGTTCTGCTTCTATTCCTACCATTTCCACTTATATGTTGAAACTCATGAATACTGAACTGTAAAGAAAGGCTGTGGTATGTAAACAACTGACGATCATTGGTTGTTTGGGCAGAGTACTTTTTGTCATGCATGCATTTCCTCCATGCTTGTGCTACAGGAATGAAAACAATGTAAAAAAAAAAAAATAGATTGCATCCTTACCTGCACACTTTGACACACTTTATGCTCTGCCTTTATTTTCCATTCATCCAGGAGCTGTGGATCAGGTTTACCAAGTTCCTCCTTGCTGGGAAAGTACCACAAATACCAACAACGGAATGAAGTACCTGTATGTATTTGCTTACTTAACAATTATTCCACTGGTCAGAAAAATTAAGACGGTAAGATCATCAGGTAAAACATAATCATCATGTAGCTTGTGACATACAAGGTTTTTATTCATACCTTAGGTAGGTTTTTAAGACCCAGTTGATCAGAATGATAGCATTTTTGAACAAATTGATGTCCTGAAGCAGGACGTGCAGGTGAGCAAATATCTTTTGGTGGTAACTGTCTGTCTCCCTCGATGGTGAATACTTAAATATCTTAAGATAGTCAAGAACAGCGCTTTCCAAAATAGATAAATGCTGCCGCAGGTTCTTGTCCAGATCATCAGGATGCTTTGGGAAGTTCTGGGACAAATCAGAGTGAATACATGGGCCCAAGAGCTGTTCTTTTACGATGTTGAAGGAGTTTTGATGCATGGAACTTTCATCAATGTGACCTGCATAATCACAAAAAAAAGCCACAGTTTGTTACAATATACCAGTTTTGAATTGTCTTACAGTCACAGACCATAGGACCTGAAAAGGTGGCTTTTCCTGAGATCAGGCTTAGACACATGATTTCATTTTATAGCTAATGGGTTGTAGCTTGGAAAAAGCATCTTTAAGAATCAGTTTGATTTCAGTTTCTTCTGTGAATATTTTACCTGTAACACCCTAAGTCATTTTACATTTTTAAATTTTCACCTTTTACAGACAAAACAAAACCGATTGATATGCCAAGCCTAACCACAATGGCTCATAGATCTTTGTATTAAAAGTATTGTATTCATATGTAATCATAGCACTGAAGAGGAAATGATTTCAAGACTGGCCCATATAAGATTTGTCATCAGAGGTTGTTTTATCTCAGGTTAATGTTTTCAAATTAACAACAGCATGTGTGCTCTCTATGACACACCTTGAAATGAAAGTTACACATTTACTTGAGCATACCTGATACTAAAACCATGCTATGATCTTAACCCTTTTAAGCCTGATCCAAGAAAAAATAGAAGGAAAATTATAGATATTTTAAAAATCTTTATTAAGCCTTTGAGCAAAGTATGAAAATAATTCTTGAATATTAATAATTTATTACTGTGCGAGTAGTCAAAACTCATGTAATCTTTTGCCCTCTGTTATCAGGTATATCTGATTGTGTAAAACAAGTTTTTCAATTTTTGTTACCATTAAATAATAAAAAAGGTCTCATGAGCAAGAGATTTTAGCAACCGAATGTATCACTTATGATACAAATGGTATTATAGGGTTAAACTGTAACTTGATCACAGCGGTGTTGAATAGAACAGTAAGCTCTTTTCAGAGAAAATGTATGCAAACCAAACAACTATACCGACTGACTATACACGAAGCGTATTTAGAGTCACAGAGAAACTCGAATGAAAAAAATGAGAATTGGCTTATACATACCATCATCATCTATGTCGTTGTTGTTATTCTCAATCAATAAATCGCTGCGGTGAGGTTTTTTCGGAACTATCTTCCTTATCTTAGCTCTGATAAGATCCATTTTTGGACGTTGACTTTTCCACAGAGCCAGGCCACGCTTTTCCACGAGCTACTCTGTGTAAGAGGCTTTCTGCATCTCTTTTAAAGCACTATGAGGGGAGTTCCTGTGATATCACAGCCACTGAAGGCGCATCCAACTTTCACTTTCAGTTCTTTTGATGTGTTTGCATCATCCACTTGGTGCCCTGACTAAATAAAATAGAAGTTAAATGCAATGTTTTTGTTTTCTTGGCTCTTTGTAGGAACTGATTTTTGAGAAAATAATTTAAAAAAGCATAAAGCCCAATTTCTGAATTCACTGCTTTTTAAAATATTTATGCAAAGAGGCTTCAATAAGGGAACCTGGGCTGTTTTTCTATGAGCTCTTAAATACACTCATTCTCACTTATACTGTTCTAAAGTAGCTGATGGGGAAGTGTCGGTTTACAGTTAGTAAAAGGGCCCTGTGCCCATGTCATGCCGGGTGAATTTTTTCCCAACTGCCCAGCTGAAAAAAAAGGGCTGCATTGTAGCACATTTGACTGTCAGATTAGATGAGCTACATTTGCTCGATTGAGCTTCAAACACTTGGAAGTGATTCAGTTCAAATTCCTGTGGTGGCAGTTGTTTAAATGTATAAATGCATTTAATCCAGGTCATAGTTTTTCCAACATCAGCTGAATGTTGTCCATTTTTTTAGTTGTAGCTCTGCATGGCTACACCTGATTTTGTCAATTGTTTAACAGGTTTTTGACACTTTTTATCATAAAGTTCTAATTCTATCACAAAGTCAAAGGATTTTTTTTAGACTTTGAATTAATTTTAAAAAACGTATTCTTTTCAGGCATTCTCTAGCGTAGGCACTCTGGTGTTTGCCACCAAGGGCGTAACCTCCTTCAGTTAAACCAATCAGACTGTACTAAATATCTGGACCAATCAGATATTGCTACAGTCAAATTTCAAAAAGCGCTTTCTCCATTTCTGCCAGTTGTTTGGAGGACGATTTTATTCAAACAGTCAAAACTGCATCTCCCTCAAGGTACGAGGAGAAAGTCGCAAAATATTAGGGATATTCCGACATACCTACAAATATTTCCTTCCCTTTTAATTGGTCCCACTGAGAGTGCCCTCCCAAAGCCAGCGTGATCTTTTTATTGAAATATTGTAGCCCACACTGCTCAATGTCATGTGAAATGTTGTTTTTCCTGTATAGTTATGTGACTATATCTTTACCTATGCCTCTGTCTGTCCCTTTAATCTGAAAAGAATGAATACAAAGCAAGCAAAGTCGTTGTTTATTTGTGCCAGTAGCAGTTGGAGGTGTGCCGATGTGTCATAAGTCATAAATGAACAGGTAATCTTTTTAAAAAAATGAGTGACAAGCTTTCTCCTGCAAAACTATGATAGATAAGACTTGTCATGATCTATGTTTAAGTGTTTTTGAGTCTTAGTTTCTATGTCATTTAAATTTCTGTCTTTAAATTTGACCTAACTAAGCTTCTGTCCTTCATGTTTTATTCTGCTGAGTTTCCTCCCTGTGTTTTGTCTTTGGTTTAATTCACATCTCACAGGCTGGATTTTCCAGTTTGCCACTCCCGTCCGCTCCCAATTTTCCCCTTGTAAGATTAATTGCTGGTGTATGTCTGTAGTGGCCTTTTTTAAGTTCTTGATTCCTTTAACCTTTATCAGTCAGTATATTGTTTTCAGTTACTTACTAATCAGTGTTTTTACTACCAAAACCTTTTTAATTCACCTCCTGCTGCTGTAGGATCACAATCCTTTTTATTAACTAATCCAACTTTACCTGCCAGGCAGATGGCCGCTTAGTACCACTGGATATCTTGGTTTGAGCCTGAACTTAAAGCAATAGAAATGAAAAAAAGTATTCTTTCTTTTTGGCAAACCGATCCCACATAATGTATTCCCTTTCTCTCATATGTGATCTCCTCAGGGAGTTGGTTTATGGGATTTCCACTTTCAGCCATTCAGTCTATACCAGCACCTCGCTGAGCCCATCCTTTAGTTGCTGTCCATTTTTTAAAAAGCCTGTCTCTGTCTGTTGATAGGTGTTCCTTTCTCTTTTTGTGTAAACTGTTTTTCTCCTTTACTATCAAGGTGCTTGCTCGGCTCCTAAAAACTGTGGTGTAACTATGGGGTCTGATTTTCTCAGAAGTTTCCCAAACCACCTTAACTGTGTCCTGAAATTCCCCATGATTCGAAGAGAATAGGGGTATTCCCAAGCAAGTGAATGGTACCTCCCTACTTGCTCACATATCAGCAAAACAAATTAATTATTTTCGAGTGGACTTATAAAAGTGTGCCCTCTGCTTGTTACAAACAGCAGACACCATTAGTTAAACCAGTGCTGCAGGTAGATTAAACTGTATTTGGCAAAATGCCAGCAAATCTATAGGTGTGTTTAGTACCGGATATGACAGGGCTCCATAAAAAGAGACATACAGATTTAAAAATATATTTCAAAGATTCAGCTTCGGAGGGTTTACAAACACATTTTCTTATATCCAGAGACTTAAACAGCATGTTGAGGCATAATAGACATGTGGACGCCGTGTTCACATGTGCACCTCACATCAGGACACTCTGGGCCACGGTTGGACGACTTGTATTCGTGTCGCCGGACTCGCAGCCTCATGTCTTGGACTATCGGGTGAAGAGAGGGTCACAGGTGGCAAGAGAGGATGCAGGTCAGGCCTGGCAGGCCTAAGTATAACATATAATAGGGAATACTTGGAAGGCCTCCTCAATCCCGCTGACGTTTTCTTTTTTTGTGTTAATATTTTTATTAGGAGAAAGATCGACATTACAAACATATTTTAAACTATAAATGACAGGTATGCCATATCGAACAAACATATATATGGATAGTAAAATAGTAAAATGGTAAAAGGCATACAATTTAGCTCCTATGGGTTTTTTTTTTTTCCTTACAAAACTGAACAGGATACAATGTATACAAACTTAATAAAGAAATAAGAAAGAAGGGGGAAAAGAAATAAAATAAAGTAAAATAAATAAATAAATAAATAAATAGAATAAAAAGAAGTAAATAAAAAAAATTAAAATTAAAGTTAAGGGTGGGTGTGGGGGCAAGGTGCATCACCTAATCTGGGAGAGGGGACTGAAGAGAATGAAAGAATGTCATGAAAGGGCGCCATAAATTATAGAATTTAGCAGAGTTGCCTTTCAATGAATATCTTATCTTTTCCAATTTTAGAAAAGACATGGTGTCTTTAAGCCACTGGCCGCTAGAAGGGGGAACTGTTGACTTCCAATGAAAAAGAAGACGCCGCCTTGCCAGTAAGGAAGTAAATGCTAAAATATCCAACTGGTTAGAAGTGAACTGTTTGTAGTCACCTGGAAGCCCAAATATAGCAACATGGGGAGAAGGTTTGATGACTACTGAGAGTATTTTAGACATTGTATCAAAGTAGATTAGCCAAAAACTATGGAGTGATGGACAGGAATAAAACATATGAGATAAATTACAGGAAGGAGCATGACATTTGACACAATTGTCAGACACCGAGGGAAAGAATTGGGACAGACGAGTTTTGGAGAGATGAACCCTAAAGAGAACTTTAAACTGTATGAGAGAAAGTCGAGCACAGATTGAACTTGTGTGAATTTTCTTAAGAGCATTATTCCACCAGTCCTCTCCCAAATTTAGACCCAGTTCGAGCTCCCAGGCCGCCTTGACCTTGGTAATGGACGAAGAATCAAAAGACAGAATTTCATTGTAAACTTTAGATATATATGACCTCTGAAGAGGATCCCAGCTCAAAAACATCTCCCAGTGCAAGTTCAGTGGCCTGGAAGGAAAATTGGGAAATAAAGCTTTGGCGCAATGTCTAACTTGAAAGTACCGGAATAGATGAGATGAAGGGAGTTGAAATTCTGATGAGAGGTCTGTGAAGCTGCGAAAGATACCTTCCTTGTAAAAATTGTTAAAACATGTCAGCCCTTTATTATTCCAGAATGAAAAGGTTGAATCAGTGAGTGCTGGTTGAAACAAGTGATTCTTCATTAAAGGGGCAAGTGAAGATGCAGAGTGAAATTTGAAGTGCTTTCTAAACTGGCACCAAATTTTTAAAACAGATCGAACTACTGGATTATTTATAAAACCAGAGGGATTGGATGTAATAGGGGAAGTAAGAAGAGCAATTAGTGAGGATGGGGAGCACGATTGGGCCTCCAAGTTGCACCATGGCAGGTCCACAGATCGAAACCAAAATGAAATTTTATGGATGTGAGCTGCCCAATAATACAGCTGGAAATTTGGAAGTGACAATCCGCCATCAAATTTGCATCTGTGAAGTGTGGATTTGCGGATTCTAGGTTGTTTTCCACGCCATAGAAAGCCAGTAATAACTTGATCAAGCATCTTAAAAAAATGCTTTGGGAGAAAGAGTGGGAGACAATTGAACAAAAAAAGGAATTTTGGTAAAACATTCATTTTAATTGCATTGATTCTACCTATAAGTGAGAGTGGTAAACTATTCCATCTTTGGAGGTCCAATTTGATTTTAGAAATTAAAGGCAGAAAATTAGCAGTGTAAAGAGAGCTTAATGATCTTGTTACATTGATGCCCAAATACTTGAAGCCAGAAAAGCTCAACTTAAACGGAATGTCCGAGTGTGAAAGCTTTAAAGCAAGAGCATTGATAGGATAGCATTCACTTTTAGCGATATTTACTCTGTAACCAGAAAAAGATCCAAATCTCTGAAAAGCAGACAGGATTGACGGTATTGAAAGAGTGGGATTTGAGACATAAAGCAATAAATCGTCAGCATAAAGCGATAGTTTGAATTCTGTGCCTGATCAGGAAATTCCAGTAAAAGTATTGGAGGACCTAAGGAAGATTGACAAAGGCTCGATAGCCAGTGCAAACAGTAGGGGAGATAACGGGCATCCCTGTCTAGTGCCGCGGAAAAGTTTAAAAAAACTGGATTGAATGCCATTGGAGGAGACACTAGCATGAGGAGAAATGTAAAAGAGATGTATCCAAGAAATGAATGCATCACCCAGTCCAAACTTTCTTAAAACTGCAAATAAGTAATCCCATTCAACTCTGTCAAACGCTTTCTCAGCGTCAACAGAGATCACGACCTCAGGAATGTCAGTGGTGGTCTTAGAGTAAATAATATTCAAGAGTGTACGGATATTGAAAAATAATTGCCTCCCCTTAACAAATCCAGTTTGCTCATGTGAGACAATAGTAGGTACTACACTTTCTTGGCGACGTGCCAAAACTTTAGCAAGAATCTTAGCATCAACATTTATTAAGGAGAGAGGTCTGTATGAGCTACAAAGATTTGGATCCTTATCTTTCTTCAGGAGGAGACTAATCGAGGCTTGAGTTAAAGTATCGGGGAGACTGCCCTGATGAAATGACTCCTTATATACTGCATGTAATATTGGGGATAGCTTGTCCTGACATTTTTTTAAAAATTCAATAGGAAATCCATCTGGACCGGGAGCTTTGTTGCTTTGCATGCTTTTCATGGCAGCCACAATCTCCTCTATGGTTAAAGGGGAATCAAGTTCCTTAGCAACATTTGGGTTTATCACAGGGAACTCGAGAGTGTCAAGAAATTGAATCATTTCAGTGGAATCAGATGGGGATTCAGATTTAAATAACAAGGAGTAAAATGACTGAAAAACCGAATTAATAGTAGTGGGATCATGATGCAAAGTACCTGACGAGTCCATTATCTGGGGAATCATATGCGAAGCTGCCCGACGACGAAGCTGATGAGCGAGAAGTCGGCTAGACTTATCACCATGTTCATAATAAATGGAGCGAGATCGTAGAAGAAGTCGCTCTGCATCGTTGGTGGTGATAAGATCATATTCAGTCTGTAAATCTACCCGCTGTTTAAGTAAAGTTGGTGAAGGAGAAACAGCAATTTGCTGATCCAGAATAGTAATATTAGCGCTAAGTTCTAATAGTTTTGCCTTGCGCGTCTTATTCAAATGAGCAGAGTATGAGATAATTTGTCCTCGTAAGAATGCTTTTAATGATTCCCAAAGTAAAGAATATGAAATTGGATCGCTGTCATTCTGATTTATTGCAACAAAATCATCAATTTGGGCTGCAATAAATGTGTTAAACTTTTCATCTGAAAGACGTAGAGGATTAAATCTCCAAGGTGTGATATAGCGATGTTGACAAGCAAACTTAAGATCTAATGTGAGAGGGGCATGATCAGAGATGACAATAGGGTGATAATTAACAGATAGAACATTTGGAATTAGCTTGGTGTCGAGAAAAAAGTAGTCTATACGAGAGAAAGATTGATGCATCTGGGAAAAGAAGGAAAATTTCTTGTCTTGGGGATTGTAAAATCTCCAGGGATCAGTGCAACCATTTTTTGACATGAAGTCAGAGAGTGATCTAGACATTAATGAGGGGACCAAACTGCGCGGGTCAGAGCGATCCAACCTGGGATCGATGACACAATTCATATCTCCGCCTACTATAAGGAGATTATTATCTAAAGAGGGAAGACATTCAAATAGCTTATTCATAAAATTTGGATCATCAAAGTTAGGGGCATAAATATTCACTAGGAGAATTGGGACATGAAATAAAGTACCAGCGACAATTAAGAATCTGCCATTTTTATCTGATATAATTTTAGAAACTGAAAATTGAATTGATTTACCAACTAGGATGGCAACCCCCCTGGCTTTAGAATTGAAATGTGAATGAAATACCTCAGAAACCCAAGGACATTATAGCCTGACCTGATCTTTAGTGCGCCAGACCTCCTTTCTTTGATTCCAACCATTGACGTGTCTGCTTACATCTGTTAAACGGACCTCTGCCGCTGCATGCACAGAAGATATTGGCTTTCAGCGTCATTCTACAATGAGAAAACAAGTGACATTTGCAGAAACCCAGACAGTCCACGTTCTCCATCATGAGATGCCATTAAAAAGGTAAAGTAATCGTTCAATTTAATTATATACCAAAAAGAATATCCTCTTGAAACGATGTTCTTGGGAAGAGCTGGACGATTGTTGTTGTGTATCTGAGTTTTTGAAATGCAATTTAGTCATGCCTCTTTCTATTGCAGGGGAACTGAAATAGAAAGGTCAGAAATGGGTATGTACACATCTAACATCAAGACGCTTAAAAGAAAGTAATTGTAGGCTGATATGAGCAGAGATTTAAAGAATGGGTTAATACTTATTTTGCTATACTGACTTATTGTAATTAGTGGGTCATATGACAAAATGTATAGTCACTGCCTTGCTTTTTAAATAAACACAAAAGGGGTTTAGTGTTCTGTTTGCTTTGAAACCGTAGACCAGTTCTTTTCTCGCCTGTTGGCAGAGCAAAGCGAAGGAGTCAGTTGAAACCGGATGAAATCCCAAACCCGAACCTGACCTAGATCAGGGCTGATAGGTTACGGGAAGGAAGCCCACTCGTGCTGCTTTCTCATTAGATGTTCCATGATTTCACCATGTAACGCAGCCCACTTACAAACTACTGGAGTGTGCACACGTGTATCCATAAATAATCCAAAGACGGATCAATTTCGGGGCCAGATTTGGCTATTGTATTTAAGAAGAACCGTGCCTTGGCACTGTCACTAAGTTTAATGCTTCAATTAGAAGATTGTCTTTTTTCTCACAAATTTTCATGATGTCTTGTACAGTCCTGACTTCTATCCAGTGAAATAACTCAGCAATTTACAATAACTGATTTTTTCAGATTACCAATACCAAATGTAAATGTACCCGTGTATTTTTGGGTCATTTGGTACCCTTTCATTTATTCTGCCTCACTTTATTTTCATTCAAAATCTTTCTCATTTAAACTTGATCAACATTCATTTTAATGTGGCCATTTAGTTTGCACTAAGAATAATGCAGCATTTTGTTGTAATTTATCTATATTATTTGTACCTGTTTTCTGATCATTTTCAAGAGCTTTGCCAGGAATATATTTATTTGCCTCTATTTAGCATCCTCTTGTGGTAATTTGTACCTTCTTTGGAATATTTTACACATCTGTGTTTTAGAGCTTCAGTTCATTTTTCATTTTTCATTTTTTTGTATTTTGTTAATTTTTTTTCTACCTGTGTCTGTTAATTGTCAAAATTGTTAAGTTTGTGTTTTTTCTTTGGCAACAGCATTGAATAGAACTGACAATGGATTGAAAATGAACAGTGCACAAGCTTCAAGAAGCAAAAAGCATCGGTCACAATACAAAGTTGTGCATGTCCCAAAAGCAATGACTGCTGCCCCATTCTTGCAGGTAGAGTCTTTTTATGTGTCGATGTGTCAGAACTCTTTTGAACTTTGTCCTTAATGATCGACCGAGTACTATCAGTTAAAAATACCTTAAAGCTCAGAGTCCAATTAAAATGTTTCAGGTTAGTGATGTCTAACTCCAGAGAACTTCCATAGAATACAATGAGGAATCAGCCCTTTGCTTTTCCCCTTCAGCATACTGCGCTTACACCTGCTCAGAGGGAGTATCTGTACACCATTGCAGCCTCTTACAGCTCTGCTCATGTTCGCAGCCTCATCACTCAACACTACATGAACGTACTGCACAGGAGAATCCAAGCTAGTGAGAAAAACATCATTCAAATATTCATACTGTCTGCTTTAGCCTGTTTAATCAATATTTTCAGACCAGAAATGATCATTGTATTTCTCTTTACAGGCATCAGCCCCAACAGAGACGGCTTTCTCATCACATCAGCGACTTCAGCTGAGAATGAAAACAAAAAGCCTGAATCAAAAGCAAAGTCGGAAAACCTTTTTAGATCGAAACACAAAGCAAAGATGCATACTAATGGAGGATCCGGAAAATTCCTCCCACCGGACGTCCCACACAGAAAGGCCAGGTGGGACCTGTCAGCTCTCACTGAAGACCATTCTAGTTTATTTCACCTCTTTCTCATTGAAGAATCTATTGTGGCTGGGCCATGTTGACTTTGCGCCTTTTTGTCACAGATATTCAGGCAGAGATAGAGGCAAACAGCACAGTTTAACAGAGCAAAAAACAACAACAAACAGCGGGCAGCTTTACTAAAATAGTTAATATATTTCACAAATCGATGGGAGTGAAGATCAGGTTTACGCATTAACAGTGAAACACTTAACATTTCATGTATTTCTACCATTGCAGGCCTTTGAATAAGTTAGCAACAAAACACAAAAGGAAGAAACAAGTAATAACATCACAACCCGTGAAGAGAAAAAGCCAAGGCAGTAAGTTAACACAAATGAGCAAACCTAGTCCTAGGTGCTGTACACATAACTGCTTTGTAAATATTTAATGTGGATGAAAACCCTTCATGAATTTTAGAGTTTTCTGTTGTTGTCAGGAGCCATGGTAAGGAAGATGGAGAAGGAGGAAGACGTGGAGGAAGAAGTGGACAGTACCTTGAGTGAACGTTTGAGTTCACTTTCTATTGGAGAGTGGGATGACCACAACTTCTCAGATCTATAATTTCGTTTCCCACAGATCACAGATCAGCCTCAGTCTTTTATTTTTCTTCTCTTTTCACTTATGTGTTTTGTGATAATAATTAACTTGGTATATTGGCAGAGTTTAGGATCCTAGTTCTACGTCTGGTTTCTTTCTTGACTGAAAAATAAATAAATAAATAACGCAATAAGATATCTTTATCTGAAATATGGGCCAGGTTGTGATTCTGTTTTTCTTTTCTAAAGTTAGTGAGCAGCAGAGTTTTCAATCTTGATTAAGGAGTTATTTGTCACACAAATCTTTGATGCCACCTAGTGTCAAATGGACCAAACCTCTGGCAGGCGCTGCGTTTCCGGTAATTTGCGTGTCTTGCCAGAAAAAGGACAATGGTGTTTTTCATGCATGGCATTTTGGACAGGCCTCAACTTGTACAGATCTGTACCTTCCTCGTCTCAAATGAGAATTTCTGAGTTTCAGCCTTTTCTGTTTTAAATTAATTTCACATTTCTGGCCCCCGATTTCATTTGTATTGTCTTTTGCTCAGCTACTTCAAAACTTAATTCCTCTGGATATGCAAGTAAAAGCAATAAATAATAATAGACGAAAACAGAATTGGAAGAGAAATGGCACATATGATTTTATTGCCTTATAATTTGAACATATTTTTACTTAATGTCCATTGAATATAACCCAATATTCATTCTACAAGAATGGAGTGTAGGGATGGTTTGTTGTGCTCCCTTTAGGTACTTCACTTATAAACCACACCATTTCTCATCATCTGACCTGTCAATGCTTCATAACAGAATCCAGTGATTCAGTGGGCGGAGTTTGTAAGACAATTCAAGACTATTTTCCTTAGTGTATAGGCATCTTCACAGTGGAATGGGTAACTCTCACAATCAAGGTTATTTCGCTACCTTATTGTTTTACCCTTTTGATTTGAGCTGAGTCCTTACCATACATTAATCCAAGCTTAAAGACAGGTCCTTATGGGTGTTTAAGAATACATCTAATGGTAAAAGCCACACCAAATTTTAACCGGGCATCTCTCATTTAAGTTTATTGATACTTTTACACAATGATGTCTGTTCAAGTTTGCTCATCTTTGTGTTTGTCCCTATATAGTAAATCAAACCAAATTCATGATCCAATTGCTCTAAACAGGCCACAGTAACCAATGCATAGGGAGGCCATATAAGCAGAAAGGCCGTAATTGATTTTTGATTTAGGAAACCAAACCAAACCCCATGGAACTCTTGATGACATGACACAGATGGAACAAAATTTGATCTTTATTATGGAAATAAATGAAGAAGGCTGACCTTGGGAAACTAAGGGCCTGGTGGTTACATGTACATGATATACTGGGGTGAAAACAAAATCAAAAACAAAAAAAAAAAACAACAGAGAAAATGGCACCAAATATATCTGTTGATAGTAAAACATGTGACATGTGCACTTTCTAATAACAACTTGGAAAATAAGCAAATGCTGATGACTTATAAACAATATAATACACAGATCTTCTGGAGTTAAGTCACTGAACACCTTGTTACAGCATTAACTTTTGTGGTGACTGAAGGAGCTGCTGCCCCCTGGTGGGAAGGAATGAAACGATAAACTGAGCCTCCCTAACCCAACGCTCCTCCCTTTCCTCCTCTAGGATTTCTTATACTCGATTCTCTCCACCTTGACATCATCGCCGATCAGCTGATACACATACGTCACCACTGTGGAGGCCTGGATGTCCATTAATACAAAAGAGGGGATGATGTTTCTGTAAGGGAAGGAAAAAAAAACAATGAATAAGTCTGTCCCAATGACAGTGCAAGAAAATGCTTGCTTGTATGTTTCCAGCAGCATAAAGAAGCAGAACAATTACATTTGTGTCACATTTGTGTTTACATATTCCATTCCTACATGGTCAGTGTGAGTCTGTTTGCCTCGTATCTTTTTTTTTTTTTGGGGTGGAGGTTAATTTGGTCTCCTAAGCACCAAAGTTGGGTAAGTGGCCAACTGTCCAGAACTGATTGCCCAGGAAATCAACAAAGGGATTTCTTAATGAGAACTCGCCACTTTTAAAAACACAGCAACATAGATGTGTTTTCCTTATTTCTGTGGTCATTAACCACGATTTTCAGCTGACGTGTCCATTCCAGTGATGTCCTCCAATGTTCACTCCCGCGCGAGTCATATGCGAACTAAGTCACGGGTCTTTTTGGCCACTATTGCCTCTTTTCTAATGCGAACCACATCGGCAGGTCGAGACTATTAAAGGCAAATCCACTACAGGCACCTACCGTTCGAGGGCACTGTAGGCTCCAGTGGCAGAACCGGGGTTGATGTAGAACTTGTTCTCGTTCTCGAATGCCTCGAACTTGTGTGTGTGTCCCGAAATGAGGATGTCGACATCGAGCTGTCTCTGGAGCAGCGCCAGGCTGGCCATGTCACCCCAGGGGATCACCTGGTGGCCGTGGATGAGGCCAATCTTGAACTGGCCTACTGTTACCACCTTCTGCTCCGGGTAGTTCAGGTTCTGGGAGAAGGGGCGTTTGTGGGGGAAGGCAAAACAACAAGTTAATGATAAGAATACTCTTTAAAAACCTTTAGCTGAGAGTGTAATAAATGATCAGCCGTGATGAAAGCTGTCAATTTTGATCTAATTTCTATTTTAATATCAATGAACATTCTTTTGTGTTGCTCTATTACTGAATAATTCCTAAAAACAACATTTTTCATTCTTTTTTAGCTATCATATGGTATTTTATCCAAGGATTACGTTAATATTCATGAGCGGGATGTAAAGGATCTACACACACCTCATCAAAGTCTCCCCTGACTATATGGACATCCCCTGCTAGAGTTTTCAGGTAGTCATAGCTCTCCTTGGTGCAAAGGTTGCCCGTGCAGAGGATGTGCTGGATTTTCCCGGGGACCAACAGCTTCTTAAACTTGGCTGGCAGCGTGTTGCACCGGTGGGGGATGTGCAGATCACCTAACACCAGGACCAACTTGGAGCATCGCACAGACAAAACAGACACACGCAAGTTAGTCACCCGTTAATGAAGTCAGGCTGTGTGGTAAAAGCACCTTGGACACTGCAAGGGGTAAGTAGGCCAAAGACAGAGCAATGCGGGACAGTGCTGGTCAGTCCCGCAGTGGAAAATAACACACACACACACACACACACACACACACACACACACATACTCCATCACACTGTACACCTCTGTTAGTGACTGTTAACTACTTTAGTGTCAATCTAAAAACAGGAAAAATATTTTATGTAATCTAGTACAGCGGATGAACAGTGCTCATCCAAAGCATTTAAACTAACAAATCAGAAGAATTTGTGAGTTTAAAAAAAAAGAGTACATTAAGTATCTGAATTCAAACTGGCTTCTGTTACTTTCATATTCTGTACATAAACATGGCATAAAAACTTGACTGAATCTGCACAGTTGGATTTCAGACACTCTCTTGACAGATGGGAAAGTTTATCATGAGTCCTCAGAAAGAAAACAACCCAAAGGGTACATTATGAAAATAAAGCCTGCAAGTGGCATCATTACCCATCGTTACTTTCAATATGGGCAGATAAAAGAGAAAGGGAAATATAGTATAAAAAGCTAAAACAGTTTGTATCATTCTTACAAGCTTCACTGTGAATATTTAGTGTGAACACCTTCATCTTCAACACAACCTGAACCTATTTTAGACAAACTCGTAGTTAATTTAAGCAGTCCCACCCAAAGTGAGAGGTCCAGACAGGATTGATCCCTCCATAAAACCTGTTGGTATTGATTTTCAATCCACTTCTTGTATCATTTGGCACCTTTCAACCTTTTCTCTCTGTTTGCCTTTGTTAAGAGTGTTTTTTCTGAAGGCCCCCTTTCTACACAGACCAATTGTCTGTTCTGTCTGGGCATAACTGACGCATAATTTGACTGACAAAAACAACTAAAAAATATATATTATTTAAAAAATGATCAGCTTCGATGAAAAGTTTTTACAAAAGGAGTGAAACTATTGCGAAAAGGAGTGAAACTATTGCTAAAGACCGAGTCTGACTTCAAGAGTTCAAGACTTTTACAAGTATGAGAAATAAAAATAAATCATTGATTGAAAAGAATCCTCCTCTGAACAAAATATGTAAGAAATCAAACATAAGAACTTAGTGATATTCAAAGCTGGTAGTTTAAAAGTAATTTGCGATAGATTTATGGAAAGAGCTGCTGTTAGGAAACAAAAAGAAGCATTATTTAACTTGTTCAGCATTTGTTGTGCAAACTGCAGTGAGCTGTGCTGAGAGAAGCAGAAATGGCAGACCTCCACAGCCCATTCTTCTGTTAGAGTGCCAGACAGAGGAGCGATCAGAAAACAGGAATCCAGCACAGAGCAAGAACACTTACCCGGTGACCAGCCTGGTTGGTTGAAGATGGTCAGAGAGAGGTGGGGGTTGGAGGTGGGGGGAACGGGTGAAATAGGGGAAAAAGTAGATTGTGCATGTGGAGAACGACACGAGACGTGATCAAAGATCAGGGCGAAAAATAGAAAAAGGGGAAAAAAAAACAAAAGACAAGAAAGAGATGGGATAAAAGAGAAAACTTAAATTAGAAAATAATAGATGGATTAACAACAAACAAGAAAAATTAAATGACATTGTGGTGGAATCAAGTTGTTAATGGTTGATGGTTAGTGATGATGACAAGACCATTACAGGAATTTTGACTGAGAATGAGCAAATGCAATATTATGTGCTGAAGCAAATCAAGGTGCTCGATGTAATTTGGGGGAGTTTTAAGAAATCATATGTGTAGATGTAACCTGCACCTAACAAAAATCCACGATTCGCTAAATGACAAACTGCCAGGTGTAAAAAAAATAATGAGTGAATGACTGTAGAGAGGGTGGTATTGTCATAATAATAGCTTTAACTGTCAAAGTAATATGCATATAACAAATCAATAAAAAAAGAAAAGTAGATAGATACAGTATGAAACAACGATGGATGATAAACCCTCATTATTTCAGCACAGGAAAGTGCATCCTACGATGAAGTTACCTTTAGCTTGTTAGCCCGTCTAGCTAACTGGTTTGCAAACAGGAAAAAATAAACAAGCGTGACAAAAATCAAACAAACTACAAAAATGCTGAGGTAATAAACATGTCAAACAGATAACCCATGATCAAATGAAAATAGTCATTTAAATGGCAACTGCAGCTTGTAATAGTGACTTTTTGGGGACTAAACTGCTCAGCTGTCATGTGATCGGTGATTCATCTCGGAATCGAGCTTCACCGCTTAACATCTTGGACTTGAGATTGAGAAGGCCTCGGAGACACTTTGTCGCCGTCCTTACGTAGAGTGTTAAAGTAAGCAAACACCGAGCGCATTAAACGTGCGCTGTAAATGTGGGAAATGGTGGCCCTTTCGCCATTTCATACTCACCATCTTCTCTGTTGCTGTTTGCTGCTAGTCAAGTTGAGGAAGCACCTACGTACGTTATACGTCAAGGCGTCAGCCAATAGGAGATGGGACACGTTAAGTTGCCAATTTGATACTTCCTCTCATTCCTTCACAATAAAACTTGTAAAACTTTGCTTAGTCAGACGCATGGGGAGAAATTCCATGAACAGATACAATGTCATTTAGAAATAATATAATATCATAAGAACAATTTACTGGGAATTTTAAAGGTACACGATTCGCTTATTTCATACAATAAATGAAAGCTGTACCACTTGTGAGGACACACGAATTTAACAGACTTTTACTTTTACATATATGCTGTAAGCGGACGTACATCTTGTGCTGAATGCATCTGATAAATCAACACTCGTTAGTATAACGACGCAAGAAGCTGCATTTCGCAGAACATTCGAGAGGTAGGTAATACTAAGATTCATCATTTGTATCTAGTACATCGTGGTCTAGGTTTTTGTATTCTTTGGTAATATCAAATATAAATAAATTTGTTGCTTATCGCCGGTGAAGACTATACTTAATCATTCTCTTCATGAAATACCGTCGACGGAGCTTGGCTAACTGTGCTAGCTCTGGCCGCACGACGTCAGTTGGCCTCCCTTTAGCGTCATGGGTTTGCCAAATTGTTTGGTTTTATCCTAATTAATACATAATAACTGAAACAAGTATTGACTATTATGTGGATGCTCATCTTAAGTTGCGACTATACATCGTCTTTAAGGTAATTTGTGAGAAATTAAGCGATTAAACACGTGTACCGTTAGCCAGTTAGCTAGTTATCGTTACATATGTCGATACATTTGTACTTTTTTTATTTGAGAAAACGCCTGTGGATTGTTCTGAATTTTAGCACTGAGACGGAAGAGTGCGTTACACCCAATGAATTCCAACGGCTGTCACACCTGCTGATGCTCACACTCTTTTCCAGCTTGTTTAACGACCGTTTGTTCTCCCAAAGGTTCTCCAACCCCGAGGACGTTCCGGATAAATTCCCTCTATCTCTGAATCTGGCATCTACACTGTCTGGACGCCTCAGTGTATTTTAACTGTGCGCCTTTGAGAGCCATATTACCCTTAACAGAGCCTGTTGCAATCAATATAACACCAGCCATCGACCACCGTTCACTGCGGCAATAGGACGATCAGCGTTGTGTTTATGTCTTTGTTTTGCGAAAACGGTAAGTTATAGACGCGATTCACACAATAATCCAAGTGTGTACAAGTTAATTTTCGAAAATCTTTATGGTCTTAGGAATCTAAGATGTATTTTATTTAGCGACGCTGATTAATATTCCATGTTTTCTGTGACACCATCAAAATGGCGTCTCCCAGTCCCTTCACTCGTGTGCAGCGGCTGTGTGACGCACTCTGCACCAAGTAGTCAGCTAAGCTAGTTAGCTAGCCTTCACCTGAAACGGTCTCGACCTTTGCCTTCCTAAAGACCAGCTCACTCCAAACACCACCGTGTTTAATAAAGAGGACACGAAAGCCCCTTCATGTCCAGTAACATTTGGTATGTTTCAGACTATCATCACTACAAGTGGGAAGGTGGAATTAAAAGCATGAGGGGGAGAGGTTTTTTTGGCAGCTTCTAGGCCTCATGTTTTTGACCTATTAAAAAGAGCAGGCCTTACATGACCAAAGCCAGAGGCCCCCCACATAAGACAAAAGGCTTTAACAAAGCCATTTTTGAACACATGGGCACAAAAGGAGGTTAAAACATCCCATTCGGAGGCTGGGTTTTATTTTTCTGCTTGTCTGTCATGGTTACTCTCTGTAGCATCACATGTATGTTTGTGTTTTTTTAATGGTGTTTAATCTTTTTTTTTTCATTTTAAAATGTATGTGTGTGTGCATATATATATATTATATATCAACATTTAATAGTTTGGTTTACTGATTTGTAACTTATCTGTTCTTGCATTAAGTCTTGTTAAACTAAATTATCTCTTTTGTAAAGACCCATACACATTTCAAGACTCTGAAGCTTAACTTTGGCCTTCAGAGGGAACGGGTACAAATGGGTATTGGAGAGGCCTGTCGCTTTCTAACTTCTGGGATGCTTATCCAACAATTGTAATAGTTTTTTGTAGTTAACTTTAGGTTTGGAGGGACTCCGGTGGTCTTGTCCCATATTTTTCCCATATATAAATTCCTGGGCTATCTATGTAACCTCATAAATTGCAATAAGGGTTTTTGTTCTAATTATATATCAGCTATTTAGTTTGTGGTTGTAAAACGGTTGTCCTCATTATTTAAGAAATCAGGAAGTATATTTGAAAATCGCACAGATTTAAATGCCCTAACTTGAACTCGTTGCTAATACCCAAAACTGTTTCTAGAATTCACATTTGTCAGTTTTTTAAATATAATTTCTGTATAGTCGGGTTGGATAGAGTGCTTCCACCGATGGTTGTCTTAATTATTTATGTTTGTTCCTCTCCTCTTTCAGAGCTGTTGCGCAGCCGTTGGAACCTGTGTGGTGGAAATCTAGCCTTCAAGCAAGGAGCTTGCGGCCATAGCGGCACAGCGTTTTTCATGTCAGAGACCGAGCACGCTTGCAGTCGTTTATGTCATCCCCTCTTTTCCAGACAGAAGATCCCGAAAAATCCCCAACCAAGATCCTTTTATCTTACTGATAGTTCTAACATCCAGCCAAAATGTCTGTCAACATCAACCGCAGCGTGTCAGACCAGTTCTATCGCTACAAGATGCCCCGTCTGATTGCCAAGGTAACTGTGTGCTGTTGCTTTTCCGTAGCCATTGAGATGCAACAGAATTGGCTTTACTAAAGTTTAAAAAGTCCTGCTATGGGGGAATGTTTTGGAGCTCTATTTTTTGATGGGTAATATGTTTTTTATTCTCCCTTGATTCAGGTGGAAGGCAAAGGAAATGGAATCAAGACGGTTATTGTCAACATGGTTGATGTTGCAAAGGCTCTGAACAGGCCTCCGACATGTGAGTAATACAGGAGCCAAACTTAATTTAGTAATTTTAATCTTTTTCCGATAATTGCATTCCTTTATTTAAACAAAGAAAAAAAAAAAGGATATTTTATCTATTTTGTTGTATTGATTTTTATTTTCCTGTTCAGACCCGACCAAGTTTTTTGGTTGTGAACTCGGCGCTCAGACCCAGTTTGATACCAAAAACGACCGTTACATCGTCAACGGATCCCATGAGGCGAACAAGTTGCAGGATATGCTTGATGGGTTCATCAGAAAATTTGTGCTGTGTCACGAGTGTGACAACCCTGAAACTGACCTGGTGGGTGAATCAATAGCATCATTATTCAAGGAGGTTTAAGCACATCTGCAAAGTTAGATTAAAAAGATGGATAGTACATGTCATCTTTTTTTTTTTTTCTCCAGTAAGTTAAAACTAATTTTCAAATTTTGAACGAGTAAATATTTGTTTTTAATATTTGTAGAAATTAAATACTGCATTAAATATCCAAATTTCGAGGGGGGATTGAGATGTTTTGTATCCTCTTCATAGTGTTGGCTGATTAAATGCTAGGATTTTCATATAGCTTTTTTGGGCCCTATCCTTACAGCATGTCAATCCCAAGAAGCAAACCATCGGTACTTCCTGTAAGGCCTGTGGATACCGTGGCATGCTAGACACCAGACACAAACTCTGCACGTTCATCCTCAAAAATCCACCAGGTGAGGTTTTTCTCTTTGTTGCCGGTCACCGACTTGACCATAAGAACTTGTCTTCATTCAGCTATGGATCTAGACACAGGTTTGATAACCCCCACCCTGCTGCTTTCCCCCTGTAACAGAGAGCACTGATAGCGGGTCTGCGTCTGCAAAAAAAGAGAAGGAGAAGAAGAACCGCAAGAAGGACAAAGAGAACGGTTCTGGCAGCGGCGAGGCTGGAAACCATGACAACATCGACGCTCCTGAGGCTGTGGTGCGTTCTCTCTGTCCCTGAAAAGACCTCTTTACATGGTGCACTCGAGTGATGCCAAAAAGCAAAATACATTGAATGTAGTTGTCAAAAACAGTTTGTAAATTAATTTTATAAATTGATGTTGTATTACACATACGAATAATTGTTCAACTAATGTCGGAGGACACTTTTGAATTTCAAAGTACAGGGGTAGAGCCCTCATTTAAAGGTTCCTTCTGGACCATGGCCATTTCACGTTATCTGATTTTTTTTATTCTGGTTTATCCTCCCCCGTGTTCAGGATGGAGATGACGACGATGAGGACTGGGCAGAGGAAACCACAGAGGAGGCGCAGAGGCGGCGAATGGAAGAGATCAGCGACCATGCCAAGGTTCTCACACTCAGTGAGGACCTGGAGAAACCCCTTGAGGAGAGAGTCAACATCTTCTACAGCTATGTGAAAGTGAGTCTCCCGACTGTTTGAGAGTTGGTCTGAAAATCCTCAACGGATGACTTAAGAGAAACAAAACTTTACTTCGAGCTGACCTTGAAATCGATTATTGGAAATTGATACGTTAAGTGATAAATATCAACCCTGGAATTATTTTTCTGATTGTTTTGAACTGTTATGGATAGGATTGCAGATTTAAATTATATAGTTATTCAGAGAGACATTTAACAAGCATAAAAACATTGTTTACACCTTTTAATTTGACACATTTTTCCCCCTCTCATTTAGCAAAAGAAGGAGAGTGGAACCATTGATGGTGCTGACAAGGATATTTTAGCGGAGGCAGAGCGTCTGGATGTGAAGGCCATGGGCCCCCTCATCCTCAGCGAGCTGCTCTTCAATGAGAACATCCGAGACCAGATCAAGAAATACAAACGCCACTTCCTGCGTGTAGGTTTAAGTCCTATCGGTTTTGGGGGAAAGCACTATTCTATTTTATTTTTTCACTTCCCTTCTTTAGGCGTAATGAAAGTTGCTCTTTTAGAATAGGTAAACTCTTTGTCACTTGAAAGGTGAATTCAGTGTAAAACACACAAGTATAGCATTAAATGAAGGGGGGGGGGGGGGGGGGATTAGCTCCCTGCATGATTAGTGCATGCTGGATATAGTTTGAAGTTTGGACATAGCGAGGAAAGTAATCCTAGTCCACCGTTTAGTTCCAAATGCTACAAGAATCCTTTCCGTTTAAAACCTTTTCAACATAATTTAGGAGTTAGGAATTTAAGGTTGTACAAAATGGTCATTGTGCTACTTATTGCCATTTTGGACAGAGGGGAGACTTGTTTTCCCATCTTGGTCCCTCATCTGTACAGACAGCAATGTTGGGAAGAGGGAAGTTATCATGGAACAAGCCCCTTCAACCCAAAACGCTGTTTAAGCCCACTCTGTCCACACCAAAGGGAAGTGGTTGTGATGAAACAATTTGGGCTGTAAAGATTGTAGCTGTAAGATGTTGTTCGCCCACCCACCCCCAATCAAATGCCTCCCCAAAAAGCTAGAGTCGTATATATGTGCATCTCGTTTCTTTTTATAAAGTGCCACCTATAACTGGCTGGAAATAGATGGACTGTGTGTTGTGTTCAGAACAATATAACTGTTATCACCGCCTCAGCATTGATGTATGTTAGTCCATTATCGCAGTCTGCATAAAAGACCCAAAGAGAACGGGGCCTTTGTGCTTTTGACCTATTTGTGGCGGTACTCCATTTTAGCATGGTTATCTCCTCCTCAGTTACCTCCAGTGTTGAGGAAAAGAAGTGAAAGGCTGTCTTTTAACATGGTGTTTCACACAGTGTTGGGTTTGAATTTCACTTAAAAAAAAAAAAAAAAAAAAAAGTCCCAACATGCATTCATTAAGCAGCTGTGATCTCGTGCTGGGGTATAAAAGGGTATTTATGGGAGAAATTTAATAGAAGTGCCGCCTGTCTACTGCCTTTTACAGATGTCACAAGACTCAGTAATACATTTTTTTCAACAAGGCAGTGTTGGTGGTGGTCTCACACTGGAAGGCACTTCTGTATTGGCTTTATATCCGATGGTGGTTTCCAACATTTGAACATTTCATTTGGATTGTTTTAGAGCTATCAACGAAAGATTTCTTTGGTACTTCAATTTATTTATGTATTTTCTGAGTAATTTATAGTTTTCCCCCAAATGTTCCCTCAGTTCTGCCACAACAACAAAAAGGCCCAGAAGTATCTGTTGGGGGGCTTTGAGTGTGTCGTGAAGCTGCACCAAGTCCAGCTGCTGCCGCGGGTTGCCATCATCCTCAAAGACCTGTATGACGCCGACCTGCTTGAAGAAGATGTCATATTTGCCTGGGCAGAGAAGGTACTCAAAATTTGTTTTGCCCTCTGAACTGCGTGTACTTTTTATACGTTGATTTCCTCCTTGTTTTGATACACAACTTTCCTATTTCTCTGTTGCTTTTGATCAGCTTAATCAGATTTTTTTTTTCCCTCTCCCTCTGAAGGTTTCCAAGAAATACGTCTCCAAGGAACTTGCCAAAGAGATCCACGCCAAGGCTGCTCCTTTTGTCAAATGGCTGAAAGAGGCTGAGGAGGAGAGCGAGGGGAGTGAAGAAGAGGAGGAGGAGGACGATGAGAACGTTGAGGTACTTGTCCATCTAAAGGAGTCAAAGCTTTTTAAACCAATCACTGTTGGGTATGCCGATTTGGAAGCGGTCTTGGCACGTGTTTGGAATGGGTGGCAACGTGCCCCGGCAGACGCTGACCTCTGTGGGTTGTCTGAGTTAAACAGCCATGCCGTTTACCGTCCGCAGGTGGTGTACTCCTCCTCTGCCCGGGAGCTCAAAGTGGAGACTGTGAAACCTGACACACCCGAGAAAGAAGAGGATGACATTGACATTGACGCTATCTGAGAGATTTGGATGATGATGATGCTTTTCTTGTGTTGTGGCTTTGATTCACGATTTCCTGTATGACCTAAATGGCTGACCTTTTCATCTTTTACTACCTTCCCCCACCCCTCCCTACCACCACCCTCCACAAATCCTCATCCGCTTCATGGCATGACTTAATATAGCGCTTTACTTGCTGCTCTGTAACTGTAATTTTGAAATGTATTCAGTTGATAAAATGAAGTCGCTTCGGGGATTTTAATCATGGGTGTTTTGGGATTGTTTTGACTGCACTTTTCTTTCTTTTGGTGTTCCTGTATTTTTTTCTCCCAGTCAAATAAAGAATGTTTTGCTATCCACTACATTTGATATAATTTTTCTTTGCCTTTTTTAGTTTATTTTTGTAGATGAATATATATCGAGGGAAAAACAACTAAGCGTTTTGTTGTGGTCTTTATAAACCACAACTGAAACGGTGTCCAAATGTTTCCTCTTTTCTGGTTAGCTGCTGCTTTAAAAAAAACAAAACATTTTTTAATATATATTGTTGATACATTTAATCACGTATCTGCATCAACCAACCTGCGGAACCTCTCACCTGAGCTGGAGTTCCCCCAGGTGAGAGGGAGGTGGAGACCAGATCCAGCGGGAGTAGGAGCAGCCACACCAGGGTTTTCCCTGTGCTCTGCACCGCTTGTGTGGTGGTGAGCAGAGCCCTGAGGGCGTCTGAGTCTGCACCTCCCTATACCTCGTGGTGGGATTTAGTCACCGTGATTGCTCATGATCTGAAGCAACACCGACAGTGACGGAAATAACGGAAAGAACCGTCGAGTTCCACGCCGGAAGTAATTAATGTTTAACGTGAATTTCCCCTAGTCGACAAATGAAGGGTTTTCAATTATAAATGCTTTCAGTAAAGTGAAAACATTTTTTAAAATCCACATTTTACAAAATAATAATTTCACAGATTATCAGCTCTCTGTCAAAGCTGGAATTTTTCAAGTTGTGGGGAGTGACGGTTAAAATGGTCCGCACAATGAAAACAGGGCAGGTGTACGATAGGTGTCATGCTAAAGGAATTCTATCTGACGCACTCAGTGGGGCTCACAAACAACTAATTTCTATTTCAAGACAACAAAAAAGTACGTTTCCTCTACAGTCAATGTTTTACTTTAAACAACCGTATGAATGCACTGGACGGATTGGATACTGTATCCATCCACACCCGAATAAATTAATGATCCATCTGTCAACCTGCCAGAATATGTCTCCCCAAACTAAAGACAACTTAACTGCTACGACCAAATGTATAAACTGTATAAATACTACTTGTTTACTCCAGTAAATGCTCGATAGTTTAATTTTAGTAAATAAAGTTAAGATGGGGTTTAAGGGATGGGTGGTTTAAGGTGAGCATCACGTCTCCTTTGAGTTTATATTCCACAATAATTTGAATTGGCATCGAGTTCTATCTATCTATCTATCTATCTATCTATCTATCTATCTATCTATCTGCAAACTAGAATAATAACCCATACCACAAACCTGAAAATCCTCAACTTATTAAAAGGATATAAATGACGGACCCCACGATTCACAACATTTAAAAAGAACAAGGTGGCTTGTGTAAACAAAATGTGTCATTTTTTATTAACTTTTTATTCTTGTTCGTCCCTGTCTGGGTAATATTGAAGTGGGGAGAGCAGAAACGTTCGCCACTGAAGTGGCCGGCGGCATTACCGTTTCCTCCAGATTCTGTTCGATGACAGTCGCAGTACTTTGTGGTCCAATGGGACTGGGGTCAGCCGGTTTCCTCACTTCCTCCACCCTTTCAGCTGGACACACTTGTGGTGCATTAACGTGCTATAGGAAATGTAACTCCAAAGTTGCTTATCGTTAGATTACAATGAAAAGAAAAGTAATTTTATACTATACTGGAATTATATAAAGAGTGTATAGATTCCGTGTGAAAAATATGGCCTAGTTAAAAGGTCCTATGGGCCAAAGGACATTTAAAGGCTGAAATGTTTTTTTTAAACGTACTCGTTTACAACCATTTAATTGGTAAAAAATACTCCAAACAAACCAGAATTATTTTTATATGAAGGTCAACCCTAAAGTTAAAAAGAAAAAAGAATCGCTAAAAGCTGATAAAATGGCAAAATGTACATGGACAAAGTATGTAACTTACTTGCATTGTCACACTGTTATTGTCAGTTGTATTTTCCTGTTTCCTGTTAATTATTCATTATTATTTTGTACACACATGGATGACAAAGGTAAAGGGGACAATGAGGATGACTTATGGAATACTTATGACTTATTGAAGCTAATTGAGAACTGAGATTTTTTTTTCTACATACAGTTTAATCAAGATTTTTCAATGGATTCATACATACAGGGATCACGTTTTTTTCGACGGATGATTGGTAGATGTAATATTTTGTGTTGTGCGTTTTTTTATTTTCGAATGGTCGAGCAGGGAAGACGTGGTAAGATAATCGTGTGATAACTGAGCATGAACGCTGTACGTGAAGGCAGCCTAATCCAGCCCAGCCGCTGAGTAGCCATTTTGGTCCCACCTAAAACAGATAGACCCGCTTCACTTTGGGCCGCCGGAGATGGAAGAAACCGAGCCGACGGCGAGTGTTGCAATTAACTGGACATTTTGAACTCCGGAACAAAATACCTACCAGTGGCACTTGATACCCTCTCTCACTTTTTGTTTCTAAACGGGTTTGTAGGGTGAAAAAAAGGCCAGTGGTAATTTTTGGAAGTGACGACCGACAGCGCCTTCTCGTTAGTTTAGTTAGCCTCACTGACTCAAGCTCAGACGGACACAGATTTGATTTTAATAGTCTAGTTCGACACAGGCCACGAGTGGTGCGTAAAAGTCATGTGAATACCGAAAACGAGGTTATTATAGATTCTTTTGGGAGTTTTTTTTCGCTCCTTAGCAGCTCAGGTGCTCGGCTTCAACACGTCCGGTCTGGTTTCAAAATTGTCACGATCCATGCAGAGACTGTTCACCCGGAGAAACCTGCAAAGCAAAAGGACATTTTCATTTCTCGTCTGTCGGACTGAAGACTGCAGATTTTGGACTTCGGACGACGACCGCTTAGAAAGGGACCGTTTAAAAGATGTCAACAAAAACTCCTTTACCGACGGTCAACGAGAAGGTGACGGAAAGTGTAAGTATAAAGGGCTGTTTATCTGGCCATGTTTGTTCGATTCTGAAATATAATAAAAGCTCCATTTTGATGGTGATATGCTACGTCGGCGAATAACATTTTAGTTGCTTGTTGGATTTGGTACTGGCTTATTGTTACCACTTTGTGGTAAATCGTAAACAAGCATAAGCCCAACGTCAAACACACCCTGAATTTTTCAATAGGATGTACGTTTGGGTCTTTTTATGCAGTACTTGATATCTCAATTGCCGGTTAAAGACGAGCGTTATTGTGACTGACAGTAATTAGGACGCACTCAGGATATTTAGGCCCGACCACGAACAAAACTACAGTACTTTGCCTGCTGATTCTGGCAGGCAACAGTAGTTTCTGTCCGGTATTCCAATTGGCTGTCGGAGCTGTCACGTCAAGGTTTCATCCGCTCAGCTACCAAATTTGAGCCTCACTAGTCCCGCCCCCTCCCCGACAGACTCAATCCCTTGGGTAAAACAAGTTTGTCAAGTTCCATGAAATGTAGGCATCACCCGTCCGGTTCCGGATCGTCAAAATCAAACCAACACCTATAGATATATTTTAAGCTTCCCGTTTAGTGAATAAAATATTCTTTCTGCTTTGATTATATTATTTTTATATCTGTCTATTTTTAGGTTGGGGGAAAAAAAGTGCGTGGAAAGCTTTCCAAGCTCTTTTTTTTCACTTTAATTTTCAGAAACCAAATTTGGAAAATGCCTCGAGACAAACTGTGGTGCCATTGTGGTTATGTTTTATTTATTAAACTACATTATTTCTTCAAATTATTTTAGAGGCCATAATGGCTGCTAAAGGATTCTTTAGTCCATTCTTTTGGTCTAAATCCAATATTAAAAGAGGAACATAAAATCTTGACATGAACAACAGCTCAGAGCCATCCTTTTAATGAAAGGGATTTGAAATATTCAGGGAACATTGGAGACGGGAGCGAGCGGCCCGAATTCACATTTCCGCCTCCCTTTTCTACGGCTGTTTTTACAAAATCTGTAAGCCCGGTAGCGAGAGCTCTCCAGAACAGGTTCGATGCTTTTCAGCTTTTCTGCCGTGCATTCCTTTTTTCTCCCTGTTATCTCTATCAGAGTATGTGCAAATACGTAACGTCTGCATGTGATTTCCTCAGTCTCATGACTTGTCACAGTAGCAGCAGAGGATCATTTGGAGATAAGACTTATCCTGTAAAAACAGAGCACTGAGCGCGATACGGTGTGGTGAAATTGCATCGATCCTGTCAGGTAAAGAGGGGCATTTCTGTAGCTGTTAATATAAAGAGTCAACAGCAGCTGACAGACTGAGAATCAACACAGAGGACATAACCCCATTATCTGCCATGATAATTACTTGACTTTAAGTTGAATCCATTTTAAACTTTTTACATTTTTAATTTAAAAAAAAAGTTTAGGAAATCTGCACTTTCTTTTCTTAACAAATTAACACAATCTGGTGGTTTGATGGATGGATATGTGTACTATTTTGCTCAAAGAATGAGATTAAATAATAAAATAACTGCTGCTCTAATACAAATGGAAACAATAAAAGGTAGTCAAATTAAAACTCTTTGTTGTGAGCCCTCCAGTCGTGTCAAAACTGACCGTGGACTCCATGTTCCCACTCACGCAGGAAACGGCTAAGCGGGAGCCTTTGTTCTGAAAATACATAACGCGGTTTCCGGTCTGTGCGTGTTTATTTTGATTCGGCTTGACCGGGATCAGTGTTTGCCCCTCCCCGTGGCTGTCGGGGTTTTTTTAGTCGGGGGGTGGGGGTTGATATGTGGCGTGGTGGGAATCTCTGTGGGCATCATCAGCGGGGCAGAGCGTCTTCCTGCTGAAACATGACGGGCTCGCAGGGAGCCAGGAGACACCGCAGCTTAGTGAGTAACTCAAAAGGGAAGGCTTGCATTAACAAGGGAGCTTTGTCTCGTTTCTTGGTTGCAGGAAGTTGTCTTGTGGAAAATAGAAAGGATATACTATATATGTATTATATGGTAAATGCTTGTCAGATCTTTAATGGGGGCAGAACGAGAACCACAACCTTATGTTCCCACTGGGACATTAGTTTTCTGTATATGTTTTTTTCTGGTTGCTGTATTCAACAGTGACCTTCTCCTAATTGATATTTTTATCTTCACTGCCATCTGTAGAAATCCAGAAATATTCCTGCCAAGTATTGAGTTAAACTTGCTGCATGATGCTCAAAAGGTGCTGATTTCTTTTTAGATAATTTAAGTTCCAAGCTGATATATACGGTTTTGAGTTCATAGTGATGGGATTTAGTTTTGGTGATATATCCTATCTGCCTATCCAAGACTAGTTTGACTATTTTTGTTCATTTGTTAGAGGTTTCTGAAAACATATTTTGTTTGACCTCAATCTTAAACGATTCGTTGCCACTGAAGTCCCCATTTTGCCTGCCCCCCCCCTCAACCCCCACACATACTGACCATCTCTGTCTGTGGCTGCGGGCGAAATGGGGTCGGCTGGGTTGGGGATGGGAGAAGAGGAGATGGGTCAAGCCGGGTGGGGCACAGAACATCCCTCGCTGTTAATGAGGCATTGGTAGGGCAGTCGATACCCGCCCAGTATCTGTCAGGTTTAGTTGTTTCGTTTAATTCGGATGCATAATTAAGTTGCAGTGCAGAAACGATTGGGTTTTATCCGATATTTGGTTGGTTCTTTACTTGTTCTGAGATGCTATGAAAGCTTACAGCCATTCGGTTTATTTAGTCCATCATAGAGGCAATAAACAAGTTTATAAACACAGTTTATGTAACAAGTGGGAAATTTCTCCATAAAATCCAGATTATTATGCGACTTGTCTGTAAACTCACCTTAACTCTACATCAGTGGTAGCACAGTTGCTATTGATCTGATTTTATTGATTGACCCGTTAACTTTGGGATACATCTTTTAGACACAAGTCTTTTTTTTCCGTCTGTTTAAGCACCTTTAAAAGCACAAAGGTACATGGAGTACTTTAACAAAGCAAAATGACCTATTGGGGCAACAATTAAGAAACCTGCTTTTGTAACGCAGCGTAAAGGGTTCTTGATCAGTGACTTTTTAATCTAAAAAAGACTGATGAACATGACAAAGTCTGGCAAATGTGATAATTTTTCTTTGGTTTAAATGGATAAGTATAAACAACAATCAGCACAATCATGGCCAGACTTGATGAGACATCTGTAGCAGTTTTAGGAAAAGCTACAATCTATCTTTGCATCTAGCAAAGCTAGATTTTCCTAAAGTGAATGTGCAGCGGGTCATCACGAGTCCCAGCCGATCCACGTAAAAGAGGACTCCACCAGCAGCACTAATCTAACCGCATGCTTTTTTCTCCGCAGCACACATCACACAGCAACGGGCGCACGGAGCACGGCACGCGCTCGGGCCGCACCGGCGTGCGCTCCCGCAGCTCCGACGAGCAGCAGCAGCCCCACGTCGGCAACTACCGGCTGCTTAAAACCATCGGCAAGGGCAACTTCGCCAAAGTCAAACTGGCGCGGCACATCCCCACCGGCCGAGAGGTGAGGCTTTTTGTTTCACACAACCCCGGCCCGAAGCCGCGCGCCATCATTCGGTTTTGGGTTTGAAACTGCAGGCAAAAAGCAGACTTGAACCCTGTCAATGAAAAGCATTAGATTTACAGCTCATTATGAAAGATAAACATCCACTAAATTACCCTTTTGTAAAAACAATATACAAGGGGATACGAAGCGAGTTTAGAGCATTTACCAGCTCTGCTTGGACATGTTTTGTCTGCTTAAGTAAATAAGTTAAAGCCCTGGAGGGAGACCTGAGCTCATTACATAAGAAGGACTAAAAGGCTCCTTTGATCCACATGCATCAGTGTTTACAGTGCGTCCAACCAGCTAATGAGCACATCCCTGCGTGGATGATATTCTTTGGCTCGTACCTCATTCTCAGGGCTCCCTTAAGTAAAAATCTCAGTCCTTTTAGTTTTTTAAACTACATTTGATAAACAGAAAGTGTCTTTTTCTAATTCTGCCCTTTGCTTTCTTTGTTATAAATCCACTGTTTCCACTTCTCATCTGCCGTTTTGTTCCATTTAACTGAGTTTCAATTGCTTTGTCTCCTCACAGGTGGCAATTAAGATAATAGACAAGACACAGCTGAACCCAAACAGCCTTCAGAAGGTAATTACTTCCTTACATTTCTGTCTCTGCTGTTTAACTCGCATGCTGTTAAATTTCCTGCTCTGATTCATGAAGCACAACTGATTGAACATTAATTTAGCAAATGAGGAGAGAGGTTTATTTCGGTATTTTTTTTTTTTGTAGAGGTAATTCATATAAATGTTGAAGATCTCAAAGGTTTTGAGTTTTCCCAGTTCTGTGCCTTTTTTTTTTAGTTTTAATTTGATATCATTCGGGAGTAACCACCCTCTGCCTTTTTATTCTGCTCAGTGTCCCTGCAACTTTTTTAGTTCTCCTTGTTAAACCCACCAACTCAAAAGTAGGTCTGCTTTTAAGATGCTAATTCAGCAGATGGAGTGAATACACCTGTTTCCAGTCACTGAAAAGCAGTTTCGCTCCACAGTTTGGGGCCAATGAGTTTAAAATGGGTTGCCTGTTACCGTTTCTTCCTTTTGTTTTTTCTGGTGTGATCTGTGCCTTTCGGCTCCCCCACCACCACCCGGCCTGCGAGTGCTTCCCGGGAAGTCAGGGTAGTATCGATTTAGCCGAGGCAGATGTTGTTGCTGGTGGTGGTGGTGCTGGCGTTCCGCTGGCCCCCGCTGCTCTGTTCCCCTCTCCCTTGTCCCTCCCGGCGGTCGGCTAGCGGTTTTCCATCAGTTTTTCCAAAGCTCTATTGATTGTGGCCTTCGCATGTCGGAGGCCCGGGCCCTTTGGCGCTGTCTGTGATGCTCCGTTGACAGAAAAACACTGAGTCATGACAGCACTATTCACAGAAACGCAAAGCGCAAAAGCTCTCGTTGTCAGTTCCTTGTTTGTAGGTCACCGGTTTGTCACAGTCAAGGTAGAAACGAACAAACTCTAAGGTGTTTGTCAGGTACTTTTTTTCCCCTCCTACTGTTCCACAACAGAGAATGATATCTTTTCATGTTTATTTTAGGAAAGCGGAGCACGCGGCGAAAAAATAAACCACATTGAAGTACTCTGTCGTACTTTTCATGAATCCCACATTAAATGATAATTCTACATGTCACATTTCCATTTATAGAACGTGGTAGTTTTTTTTTGGTTGAGCTGAAGAACACCCTGACATGGATTAGCATTGGAATTCATTGAATATACCAAGGCCCTTACATCCTCCAGGTTTTTTATAACCAGGCGCTGCTTGTTCTAAAATGATAGTTTAGATTTTAAAAAAATTTCGAGCATGGTAGTAGTTGGTTTTTCTAACAACTGATAAGCAAAAGTGAAGTTACTCAAGAGGGTGAACTGGATGCAGCCTATGAGCGTCCTCCCGGTTGCCCAGCAACCTCTGTGTTACAAGAGTTAATATTAAGATTCCATATTGTCTATAGCTTTAGCCTCTTTAAAGTTTAGTGGAGTCATTTTGAACTTTTATGATCTTCTTTAATGATCTTGATGAGGAAAATAGATTGAGAAAAACATAAATGAACATGAGATTAATTTTTTAAATCTGAATTATTTATCCGCACTATGTTCAGATACTGCGGTCAGACTTAACCTGCATTGCTCTTTTATATAATGAACTGAAGAAACGGCATATTTAATTAAAATGTTTCAATGTCCAACCTCTAATAATTACCGTAGTCAAATTAAATCCATTCCAATTTTTTCTTTTAATGACCTCATCAGAAAGATTGCCCCCATTTAGCTCTTATTCTTTTTCCTGTAATTAAAAAAGAAAAGAAAAGAAAAGCTGACCTGTTTTGTTTTTTTTTTAAATAAAAAAATTAATAAATGAGATCTTATAGTCAGGAGTGGTGTTCTTTAAAATTTGATTTAGATTTTGGAGCTGAGGGCAAAGAAGACCATGGATTAAACGGACAGATTTTCATTGGATTTGTAGACAATGACATAAAAAGATTGAAAAGTACCATCCTAATCCCCTGAAGCAGCTCCCTAGACGTCATCGAGTAACTGCGTGTTTATGTGTTGAACGATAAGTTCTGATGGATTTAAAAAAGGAATATCCAGCCGTTCCCTTTAGAGCTCATACTGCTGAAACAGCCAGGCAGGGCTCTTATGCAACTGGACAAATTGGGTATTGTCTCCAAAGCCTAAATGTTTTCGGCCTTTTTAATTTGGCTGAGCAGAGTCGGCATTCACATCTGTCACTAGAATCTGTAAAGCGCTTGTTGTCACCGGGGTCAAAGATCAGGGAGGGAGCATGACTCTTGGAAGCCTTGATTAAATGTAAACAGAGCAGCCTAAAGCTTTCTCTAGGCATGCCTTCATGTTTTTCCCCTCCGTTTTCCCATTATGCAATTTTCGTTAAAGCTTTTGACATCAGGGCCTTTTTTAGCCTGGAAAAGTGACCTTTTGTAATGCAGTTAAAGAAAAAAGCATTTCATTAAACTGAAAATGGCTTTCTATATCTACTCGGGTCCTCTTCAGTGAACGTGATGTAACTTCAGCTGCATCATAATCATTGTGGTTATGAATGATGCCGTAAAGCTAAAAAAAGAAACATTTTCCTCACCAAAGCCACCAATCCTGACTAATGCCTCCAAACCCCATGTATGTGCTAACATAAGATAACATTTGCTTTGTATAGAGATGAGTAAACCACTAAATCAATAACCAGATAGTCTTCTGCTGATGACATAATTATAAAAGAAAGGAAAGCACTCCCCCAGATTTAGTGGCATGAAGGTTATGGGATTGAAATGAAAACGACTGTTCTGACTGATAATGCATCCGGATCAAAATAGTAACATTTAAAACCGTTCTTTTGCTCAGCTTAACAAAGTGTTTTATTGGAGAACATCCATCTGGTTATAATTAAACTTCCAGGTCTGTCACAGAGAAAAAAAAAAGCCACAGAATCATCCAGTTTTCTTCTGAGGTTCCAAAGGCCGTTATCTGATTTGTTGGGACTCATTTAAAACTCTAAACTGCTGGGATGGAAGTTTATGCAGAAACAAATAAATGAGGGGGGGGGGGAAATCACCAGGAAATGACCTCATGGTTAGCCCGCAGGATTTTTGTTTACAAGCCTCAGATCACTCGTAGTTTAGGCGGCTTTGCCCCGCACAGGAAAACAAGCAAAGATTTTTCCACTACGACTTTCTAAAATCTGCCCGTCAGATGCGACTTTAACGTTAAGCTGTGTGCGATTTGGCCTGAAGGGTCCTCCTATCGACCACAAGACGGGTTGTGTAATGGGGACAGATGTGGATCACTGCAGTGGCGGAAGTGGATCACCTGAAGGCTTACACTCCCGACCTGATGTGCGAATGTGATGAAGCTGCTCTCCCCCTCACGAATTGTTAACAGCTGATACACAGACTGGACCGAATGTTTCAAAGTAGTTTTGTTTTTGCTTTTTCTTGGCTAAATAAGTTATTCAAAGTTTCTGAAGGCTTGTGTTTTCATAATAGAAAATTGTAGACCAGGGCGTTTTGTTTAATGTTAAAGAAATGCATTACTATAGTTTTAGTTGTTTGTCTTTTGGTTCTTGGAGAGAAACCGTCCGTTACAGGTCCGGTTGGAGCCGCTGCCCCTCGTATGCCCACTGAAAAACAAAATGAGTCTCCAGGCAGCAGGGAGGGTTTTCCACCGTCCCGCAGAAAAACCAGCTCAGATTTATACCCCTGTACTTTAGGTCGTCAGAGTATTTTCAGGATAATGATGGGCAGAGGAATCAGAGGCAGAGTTTAATAACAGTGAGACTTTAAGCTCATTCCAGATCTCTTCTCTTCTCTTCTCTTCCTCCTCCTCCCTTGCAGCCCAATTCATCCCGGTTCAGTTTGTCGGCTCCAAAACAGATTGGCTACAGACCAAAGTTTTAACCCCTTGGTTGGCCCCGATCTGTAAATGAAGCGCTTCATCGTAGTAAATTCCACAACCAGGGTTCACTGCAAAATGTTTTTTCTTTTCAGTCTCTGTCGCAAGTTGAGGCCTGAGGGGATTTTACTAAAAACCATGATTATCTTAACTAATCAGTAAATTGTTTGCCCTACTTTCAGTAAAACGGAGGAAATTCTTTAAAGATAAGTATTGAGTGACATAAAGACTGTGATTGTACTTGAGCCTAACCAGTATCGGCCTTATTAAATAAGTGAAAAAGAAGCTTGATGTCAGAAAAGCAAATGTGAAAAAGAAAGAAAGAAAGAAGAAATGAACAGTTTGGGGTTAACAAATTATCCCAATTTGGACTCCGTTGGCTGACCCTGGAGCAGGAACTGCTCAGTGTTTTCTGGCCTTCTGGAGTTGTGGTGTTAATTCAAATCTGCATTGTGTCCAAAAGAGTTACACTGCTGTGACGCAGACCCTGAGGCAGAGCATGGGGGGATGGGGGGGTGGGTGGGTGATGACAGGGAACTGTTGTTAGGCAAGTTTTACCAGGCCCATCGTCTGACTCGTCCCGCAGGATGACATTTAAACAATAAAGCTGTGATCACGTGGGTTATGGATACATATTTTTTTTTACTGGACTTCCTAGATAAGATTTCATAGTTTGACTGATATTTGAAACAACAAATGCAGCTCTTCGATTTTTTTTTCGTTTGAACTAGTCTCTAATTGACAGGAAACATCTGCCCAACAGGATACACAGGGCTGATTCACAGTTTAGGCAGGTCAGTATAAAACATGAAAGACTGAATTTGTCACATTGCTTATTTATCCACATTTCTATTAGAGGCTTGTGGGACCCGTTGAGAGAGCCTGGTCTTCAGACGTTGCTGGATTTGAAAAAAGAAAAGGGGAAAAAAGAGAATAAATAGAAAATAAAACGATGCACGCTGTTTGCCGCCATCTGTTCGCCTCTCAGGCAGACACCAGTAGTTTGAGGTTCAGGGCAGACCCAGTAGACCTGCGTCTGCCGCTCAGACTCTCTGCGTGCCGTAATGCCATAATTTACATCGCATATCGTTGAGGGAACAGGTTCAGCCTCCGAGATGAATGGGCCACGTCCAAAAATACGCAGCAATTCATCACCCCAGTTAAATGAAATGATCATCGGAGAGAAACGTAACGACAGTTGCCCCGTTTGTCTCCACGATGTAGGCACATATGCCCTGTTGTGGTAAAATATGTCCCCAGAGACTCCTGCTTTGGCAGGAACTGCCAAAGAGTAATTTCTGTTAGTTGGACAGGTAGTAGAATGGCTGCCTGTTTACGTCTCTACAAGCGGATGTACTAAAATCCTAGTATTTTGAGCACTTTGAGTGTTCAGATTTCAGTGTCGACATGGCACTGAGTGCTGTTGTGACTCAGCAAGATGGAACATGGCTTAGGTATGTTTAAGCGCACCTGCCTCTGACACCACGGCCCCAAATTCCTGATAACAGGATTAATAGGATCTCCTCTTCACATGAATCCTCAGTTCATAAGAAGTGGATACGGCCATGCATTTCCCCTGTGTGGCGAAAATCAACCTTGGTGTTATGGCACAGCCACACCAGGGAGAGATCTGCCGATAGAAGCACAGCACGTGCGCATAACTTTGCCAGCCGGTCTGCCAGAGGCCCTTCTTGACGGGAGGGCTGCCGTTCACAGGCTTTATGGGCCAGATTGTTCACAGAAACAGTTCAGTTGAGTCATGCTCGCAGAAAGTACACAACGTGCCATTCATTGTCGGAGACACTGTCAAAAAAAAAAAAAAGAAAGAAAAAGTTAAATCCACAAATGTAGCCCCCTTCCCCTCCCCTTGTTTCTCTATTGTTCAATATTTAACTCGATACCTAAACGACATATCAGCTGTTTTCTAACTGCCTTTTCCTTTTTTGGTTTACTTGAAAGTGCGTTTTTGGTCTGGGTATGCAGTGCTATGATTTGTCAGCTAGCTTAACCACTAAACTGTACCCACGAGGGCCTTATAAAAGCTTAAAAGAAAAAGTGTAGAGTACTTGATCCATAATAAATGACTCTGAGCTGTTTAGGCCTTGTACATCAGAAACCTGAAGCAATTTTGGTACTGGCATGGTCGCCCTAGAAGTTGATGTGTAGGAGAAAGCGTGTCTGGCTTGGTGTGAGATGGATATTATGTTTTTACTTATTACTATTGTGGTTTGAAAAAGTTTGTGTTGCCGGTTGCGTCTTTCCTAAAAATGTGTTGAATCTCGCAATCCCAGTAATCTCTATTTATTTTCACTCATCGGTTAAGATGGTCCTTGTTAATGGTCCCTGCTGAAGCTTTTCATTTGTACTTTTAACCACGACAGACAGAATAGACTCGGCCTCGCATCAGCGTGTGTTTCAGTACAGAAAATTAGCTTTGTGCAATCAGCTAAATGCCAACAGCATTGCTCTTACATCCAGAGGCCGTTCTTCTGCTGTTAACACCCGCCATTCAGCCCCTTTTATGTCACAAAAGAGCAACAAAGGTGCATCCTCTTAGTCTCGCTTTACATCACAGGCTATTACATACTTTACGAGAATAGAGAAGATTGTTCTGATGACGACAGGACAAAAATCCCGAAATATAAAGTGTCTCATCATGTGAGAGGCCTCCAGACACCCCTCTCCTGGCCATGTACAAGTCCAGAGTGGAGGGCAGGGGCCACCAGTTATTTTGCTCTGCAGATCTGATAGTTAGTGCTCCTTTTGTCCGCCCCAGGCACTGGTGAATATGGCGAGAAAAGACCGTTTGAACAGACCAAGTCCCTCAGCAGGTCGTGAGTCAGGTCAGGCTTCCTCAGCTGAAGCAGGAAGTACTTCCTGTGCTGGGCCATTGTCACCATGGCGTTAACGTGGAGGGAGAATTTAACATAGTTTGAGACCAGAAATGCACCAATCTAAGATCACCTTTATTTTTTATTTTTTTTGTTCCTGTTTATCAATGTAATCCCACTCTAGAGCTCTTAAACGTGAGCTCCAAACGATGGCATTGGGGAAAAATCACTTTCAAATAAATAACAAGGTGAAAACTAAGAATTGAACATAAGCTTTATATAGAAAAAGGCAATACACAAGAACTGGAGTATCGAGAGGGACAAATCCATACAATGGGTCTGCCATTGTCAGCCCTCTAACATGTTGTAACAATGTTTGGCAAAACTAGCAGGTGCTTTTTTCCAGTGTGATCTAGGAGGATACAAGAGAATAAATAATGGAGTACATTTAAGAGAACAATTCACAGTAAACAATTGTAAGATCAATAGTCTGCAAGAGGGAGAGAGCCGATCTTCAGGTTGGTTCAGTTCATCAGATGCAGCTGGCAAAAAAAGGATGGGGGGGGTGGGGGTGAGAGGAGAAGGAAGTGAAAGATAAATATCGTAAATGTTTAGTTTGTTATGAGAAGAGACACTCCTGGGAAAAACAGAGCAGAGTTTTGAAGGGCTTCTTAAAGGCAGAGAGGGGGGACCCCTGGTCTGGTAGCACTTGAAAGAATCGAAGTCGCTTTCATGACTCATTCAGTGATGTCACTCCCTGGCCAGTCGATGGCCCACTCTCGGCTCGGAATAAAAGAGCAGAGGTGTAACCCTGGTAGTTGAGATTAGACATAGAAATTACTTTGTGGGCTAGCATCAACAACGAGTTCTGGCTTGTTGTGTCGGCATGGTCTGATCTTTCTTAAGTTGAGCAGTGACCACTGGGCCTACAGAGGCCACGTGCTCAGAGAAGGTCAGCTGGTCATGAATTATGACACCCGAGTTCCAAGCTACTTGAGCAGGGCGAAAGCGACGGAGAGTCAATTTTACCAAGAGATGTTGTGTTAACTTGGCAAGGGAAGCGCAGCAGTTCTGTTTTAATGACACTCTTTGTGTGGGACGCTCAAAGTCTGAGTGTGTTTCCTGGATGCTATATAAAGCCTCCCCTTGGCTCGGTTTGCTAACTGGCTCCGACATCCAACATTTTGGAGTTTATGCTGTGAAGCTCTGTCCTTATCTCATGGAACAAACACAGTCCATCTCTTGAAATGTTTCAGAATGTTTGGTTACTGAAGTGGAGGCATCCTGCTGCTGTTCATTATACTCATCACCATCTTGTTTGAGACTATAGAGTTAAGAGGAAAAAGCAGAACAGAAAACACACTTATGGGGGCGGTCAATGGTACTAGATGTAATTTAGTAAGAATTTGTAAGTTCAGTCATTTGAAAATACTTCTTTGACACAAGCTTCACACTTTAAAGAGACGCTCATCTTTTTATTTAACTTTCAAATAATACTGCTAATCATCCGAAAAGCCTCAGCACTCAAATTATGAAGCCACACAACTCCTGCTTTTGTCTGTTGTCCCATGAGGTTTAGTTGTCTGCTGCTGTGTTTATTTTGTGGTGGATTAGAAATGTCAAACTCTTAAGCGGAGAAAAATAAACTCCAATTTCCTCTCTGCCATTTTCAGCTCTTCAGAGAGGTCAGAATAATGAAGATCCTGAATCATCCTAACATAGGTAAGTTGACCTTCAAAGTTTTTTAAGACCAGATTTTTCAAAGACTTAAATCATTCAGAAGATCAGTGAAAAAGAGTTTCCAACTGTTTCAATTTTAAACAAGAAACCAACGGCTGTGCAGCATCATTACTTTGTCATCTGTAAGTCCTAATTAATGAGACTACAGGCTATTCTTTACCACTACTCTGGTCTGATTAACTATTCATAGCCTTTCAGTAAAACACCCCCACATGTGCATTTACTTCAATACGCAACTGTCCTTTTTCCTTTTAAAATTCCCACACAATTACTTACCAGTGAGGGATCCTGTCTGTGTCAAGGGCATGACATGCAGACTGACGTCGCCATCAGCCGTCCGATCAATGGCTGACACAACAGCCATTTGCATTACACATATAACTGTGAGAGGAAATACCAGCGAACAACAAGAAGTCAACATCGCAAAAAAAAAAAAAAATTGCATTAATATGCACTAAGATGCTAAGAGAAGCAGGCCATTCTGCCAGCTGCAGAGTTTGGAGCAAATCAACATAACAAAGTTGCTGGTTATATTCAGTAAGAATGAATGTAGATGGGGTTTTTTAGGCTTACAAAGACCCATGATGATCTGTTTATGATATTAGCCTCCTGAACACGTCACTGTACTGATACGCTGGCATTTGGAAGCCTTTCATTTGCATTTAAAAGGTCACTGTTATTTTCCTCTCCACTGATGGACACTTTCACTTTCCATAAGCGCAACTGTGTTTTGTTTTTGTTTTTTGGTGGGGGGGACTAGCTGGCTGGGATTCCCTAGAGATGTATTTTTCATTTCCGTTTCCCTCACTTAATGATTTCCTCCTCAGAAATGTGCAGGACGGTAGTAAGCGCTCACCAGTCTGTACCCTCTATTTACCTCGCTCTCCTCCTTCACTCTTTGTCTTCCATCCCACCTTTTCTATATTTAGCCGTGCTGCTTTCAGCTGCTCATCACAGAGTCTTTTATATCACCAAGCTGCCGCTGTTGAAGAAAAAAAAAAAAAAAATCTTTTGGACTGTACTGTAAATACTGAGTGCTGCTCTGCTCGACTCCGCTGTGCTTACATGGTCACGACTCGCAGATCCACGTGACTTCACTTTTAAACACTTCACTTGACTGCACTTTCCCTGTTAGGAAGCAGTTTCCACTTAACAGCTGTCCTGCCCCTGAATTTATTATGACCTCCTTCAGACCCCTCATCTCCTCCCACCACCACTGCCATTTTTCCTTATAATTGAATTTATAATTTTCTCTCTCTCTCCCTCCCTCTCTCTCCTGCAGTTAAACTCTTTGAAGTGATTGAGACGGAGAGGACACTCTACCTGGTGATGGAGTATGCCAGCGGGGGTGAGTTTTAAGTGTTTCATTTTTTATTTTTTTTGCCACTGAAAGCTGAGATACTCCGACATACCGGGGGCTGGTTGGTGACTCACTTCCGTTCAGTGCATTACATCTGATTTGGGATCATTAAAATCACAGAGTGGCTTTTGTTTTCCTCTAAAAACCTTGAAACACACCAAACCACACTTAAAAAAATATATATTGTTAAGAATTAATGAGGATGTTAAAAAGAAACATTTTGTCCTCATACTGGGACAGAACCGGGATGCAACTGATCATCTTAAAGTAGACCAAAAAATCTAAAAAAAACATATATATATGTTTAACTCAAAAGACTAAATGGAGTCCCCTGAAAATCTGAACATGAGGTGCTGCTTCCAAGGTTTGATTTATTAACTACAAATGCTCTAAATGTGCATGTTAATAATTTAGATATCTTGAGTGCAGCATGTAGTCTGCAGCTTCTGCTATTAGTGTTAAATCAAAAATGGTTGATTTGTGATTTGGTTTTTTGTTCTTTTGGGCGAATGTGTTTAGTATAGCAGACTGAAAATGAGCTAATCCTAAGGACCTGAGTAAAGTCAACAGGACCTACGACATGTTTCACCTCTCATCCGAAAAGCTTCTTTAGTTCTAATCCAAAAAGTGGGGAGTATCAGCCTTTAAGTTGAGGTTCGCAGGAGTCTGAACTAAAATAAAAAAAAAATAAAAAATCTTTTTTCACCCCCTGCCTACAAAAACAGCTAATTAAGACACCTGCATTTTTTTTAATTTCATACTGGCTAAAAAGGCTTCAGCTTCTTTCCCCCAACATCTTGATTGCTCATAGTTTTGTGATATGAATGTTTCCTGATTTAATTTTAATTTCTGCATCCTTCTTTTTTTGTAAAATGGCTGAACAGCTATATCTGAGCTTCTTGCTTAGAAAGGGAATCATCATTTTGCTGAGCTCTGGAAAAGCACTGAGATTGGGACTTTGATCATAAGCCAAATACATTAAATATCATCAACTTGAATCTGATATTTTTCATTAGTTTTCCGAGCACATCGTTACATGGACCCCTCTGCTCGCTCTTTCCATATAACAGGACCTGGGAGATCTTTCAAGGAACCAGTCCAGTGAGAGAGGCAGTGGTTATAAAGCATTCGGGTTGACATATAATAATTTAAAACAATGTCCCTGTAGAAAATCCTTTCTCTACCAATAAAGTTAGAACTGCAGTTACAATCCTCTTCAAATGTGGCAGCAGTGTGGCATCCATTAGTGGGCAGTGTGGTCAGTTTATCTTAATCTTATTTTCTTTTTCATTATTTTGACTTATTAGTCTGTGGCAAATGAAGAAAGTCAGGAAGGGAATGTGTTTTTTCGCAGTTTTTTTTATTATTGCTTTTTAAAAAGTGTACAACATGAGGAAGAGAATCTCCCTGTGTGGAGTTTCACTTAACAATTCGGCAACTGAGGCACTCCTGGATAACTTCAGATATCCACTGACAAAGAGTGACATTAAACTGTGATTTATACTGAGAAATGCCATTTCTCATTTAAGTTATAAGTTAAGCGAGTTAAAAAGACCTGGAAAAAAATAGACTCGTGCCCTGGGAGATAAAAATATATGGGTCATTTTGAAAAGATTGGACATTGTTTATTTATTTTCCCCAAAACGCTGCAGTGCACTCATGGTGGTCACATGACGTGATGCGACCAATGAATAGCCAAACAGAAGGTAAAATGGAGTGAAGTTATTTTTTGATTGCAGGAGTCTGTATTAATTTCCTAGTTTTATTCTCTAATCTCATCCCGCGGTGATGCACACAGCGTGCCCTTTAACCTGGACAGGCAGAGTGTTGGTTGGCTCAGCTTGTCTTTAGCATCTGAGTCAGAGCACGCTCGGGAGATGTTGCCTTTTCCAGCTATGTGAAGCACAGGAGCGCACGTTTCCACCACCTCTGCAGGTCATCGCCGAGCGAGTGGGAGGGTTCTGCAGATTGAGGAGGGGAAGTGGTTTTTGCTGCTCGTTTTGCCGTTTTTATTTTCATCAGCTTAGGCGCATGCACACAGGCCACTTCAGCCTAGTTAACACACAGGCAGCTCTAGTCACGTTTTTTTTTCGGCCGGTAGTGTGGACCGACCCTGCTGCTGTAACTCAGCAGCAGCTTTGTGCCTCCAGGAGACGCTCAGTGTGGAGGAAGCGGCGGCGAGCTCGCCTTAATTTGGCCCAAAAAATGCCCCGGAACCACGCACATGGGTGGCAGTGCACGCCAGCTGCATGAAAATTCCAGCAATTTTGTTACTTTTTTTCCCCCTCTGCGCTTTCCTAAGTTCAAGTGTATTCTCTCTTTCCCTCCGTCTCTGACCCTTTCATTAATCCAGTTCCTCTCTGTTTTGCAGGAGAGGTGTTTGACTATTTGGTTGCACACGGAAGAATGAAGGAAAAAGAGGCCAGAGCTAAATTTAGACAGGTACCCAGCTTTTTCTCCCCCTGCAGTGTTCTGGTTTCACACCTCTGCTCCCGACTTTGCCTCAGACAAGACGCTGCTGTCCTCTGCCTCCCACCCCCTCGGAGGACAGCAGCATCCCTGGCGTCTGAAGACTGATGAGAAACGTCCAAACTGACCCCGTCAGCCATCATTTTGGCTTTTGTTAGCGGTCACAAACTTTTCAGACATTTTGTCCACTTTACGGGAGAGTTTCAGATTAACTTCTACAGCCAAAATCGTTTGTGCTCCAAGGGGTTTATGAGACATTGTTAAGTTGTTTCCACATGACAACATTCACGGCACACAGCTCTGAGGAGACTTAAAGGCTTTTAAGAGGAAGGTAGGTTTCTTGTAGCAGACAAGGAGATGCTGATTATTCAGCATGTTTCCGGGGGTGGGGGATGTATAATCAAAGTTTACTTGGCCATTTTATACTTGTAAGGTACTGTGGTCTGCTGCTAATGTTTTAAATGTAAGGGCTTCTGTTAAGACTCTATTCAAAATGAAAAACAGACCGGCACTGAAATACTTTTCTTTTTCCCGACGTGCCAAAGCTGGGAAGCATTGAAAGTATGACATTTAAAGAATGGCCATCACTTGTTTGCCTCCATTATCTGTAATGCTGTTAAATGCACTGCGAGACGGATGGAACAGGGCAAGCACTCAGAGGAAGACCCGTTTTTCTCACCCTCCATTTCATCTTTCCTGTTTGTGTCAACCGCATCGCCTTCCCCACCACATCCTTCGTCACAGTCTGAGAACACAACACCGGGCTCTGCAGTGAACCCTGTTTGTCTTTTCTTTTGTACAGATCGTGTCAGCCGTGCAGTACTGTCACCAGAAGCACATCGTTCACAGAGACCTCAAGGTGAGCTCAGAAAAGCCACATTGGTTTTGGATTCGGTTCAGTAGCTGTGGAAAAATGATCTGAAATGGCAATTTCTGCACCAAGTGCATTTCCAGTTGACATTCCAGTTGCTCAGACTTCACAAACTTGAGAATTTTTCAATTAGATGGAAATGTAGCCTCTGAAAGTTTTTATACTGACCTTTTTTTAATGCATTCATTTCTTCAGGTTTGAGGGAATTAGATAGGTATAAGGGGTTTTGTATTGGTCCGATTCCTTAGGCCTGTCTGAAAGGGTAAAAACAGCTGCTGAGAGATGTCTCACACAACCGAAATACTGGAGCTCATTACATATCCGGGAAAAACGTCAAGTGTGATAAAGTTACCTAAACCTACAATTCTGACAATTGAGGAAAAAGCTTTTGATCAAACATGTCAGCCTCTTAAAAATCAGACTGTTTAAATCTATAACCTTTTTGGTAAGATTCCTCCATTCAGACTCCCGATTGAAACGCGTTAATAGCATTTATCTTTAGCAAGAGCTTAAAATAGAGAAGCCTCTCCACTTTGGAGGCTAATTACTTCCGCCGTGCGTAAAAGGTCAGAATGCAGAGCGGTGACGTCTTTGCTGCGTGCACCGACACTCCTCAAAGCCCTCGTGTTGTTACTGAGGAGTCCAACATGGCACACCTTAATTCCAGGACACCAATTGTCAACGAAACTCGATGCACCCCCCCAGCCATCTTGAATGGGATCATTGCACCACAGTCGGTGAGAGGAGTGTCTGTACAGGCAGAAGTAGGCGGCTTTCTCATGTTTTCCAGCACATTGCCTCCTGGAGCGTAACAGCACTTTCCTCCATTTTGCAGCTTTGACACTCTCTCTCATAACCCCCCCCCCCCCACATAAATATTGATGCTTTGTTATTTTAAACTCGGAGTTGGTGAGCTGCGCTCACTCTGAGGCTGTGTATCTTCTCTGCTTGCAGCTGCGTGTTTAAAGTGATTTTTTTTTTCTTATTCTTCATCAATGATCCATGAGCAGGACATGAAAGAGAGCACGGCCTCTTCTGCTTGATCAGAGCGTACAGAGATTACATGTGTACTGGCTGCAAGGGAAGCAAGACTGTGTGTCCAGATATCACAAGTGCTACATCAAGGGAATATATTATTGTCTATCTAAAAGCAAATGTGGGTACCCTGTTGTTCCCTTTTGCCCGCACAAGTCTGTCGAGCTTTGTTTGGTCATTAATTATCGAACTGGTAAGGGCGCCATGGTAGAAAGATAACACAATTTACGATTAATCAATTGCTTTACTTCCAGGAAATTAACTTAATAATCACGCAGTAGGTTTTCAGTGTTTTCGCGTTAGAACAGTACTCTGTATCCACCATAGGACTCCATTTTGAGTGAATTAGCTACTTCCAGTGAGTGGATGTAGGTGGGTTCACACGCCATTTAAATGGAACTCAGACTCCACCTACCACATGTGCTGGCACGCAAACGAACAGAGTGCGACTGTTCAACGCTCAGACTAAGACAATTTCTTTGCAGACTCCTTCGCAGCATCTAGATTAAGGTTTTAGGAGTAGAAAGGTAGGATATATTTAACAGAGGAGGCTTTAACGTCTTTATCAGCAAATAAAAAAGCAGCTTATAGCTGCTCAGGCGGTAAAACAGGTTGTTCCACCACAAACCAGGTGGTTCCCTCCATCCACAAACTGAAGCGTCCTCGGACAGGATGCTGAGGTCACATTTCATCTGTTGTGACATACCAGCACGATGTTTGACTGCACTGTAACCTTTAATTTAGGACTGAACTGGGAGAGTATTTGGTATGGCTTCTGTTTTAGTTTCATTGCCCTGCTAACGTATCGTATATACCACAACATGCCAGACTTTGTTTGATTTTCCTATTTTAAGAGGATTATTGACTAAATGTTTGTGACCGAGTCACAGTGCTTACTTTGAAAGATGGACACCATAAAATGTTGCTGCTTTAATGTGTCTGTTTGAAGGCCGAGAACCTCCTGCTGGACGCCGACATGAACATCAAGATAGCCGATTTTGGCTTCAGCAACGAGTTCACTATGGGCAACAAGCTGGACACGTTCTGCGGCTCCCCACCGTACGCCGCGCCCGAACTCTTCCAGGGCAAAAAGTACGACGGGCCGGAGGTGGACGTCTGGAGTCTGGGAGTCATCTTGTACACGCTGGTCAGCGGCTCGCTGCCCTTTGATGGACAGAACCTGAAGGTGGGACAGTTTTCATTCTGTAGTCACAGACCCATGTGGTGTTATTGAGCTGTTGGCTGCTTCCTGACTGTTTGTAGAGCATCTAGTTAAGACATTTGGTATAATGTTGCTTTATGGTGTTTGACATTTTGCACATGTCATTGTTGTTTGCACAATTTGTTAAAGTGATTGGCAGTCTGAACAAACACAGAAATTTGTATTGGTCCATCATGGAGTTTACTTCACGGAGCTGCTCTCCTGCTATACTGTGAAGTTATACACAGTATAACTTTACAGTCTGATCTCCCCTGACTCTGAAGCAGCAATATGAAATTTTTGTACCATCTACAGGCTCTTTTTGATGCATCTGAAGCTGCATCTTCAGTCCTTGCCTGACACAAAGTTCTGCATCTCTGTGTTTCAGAGATCGTTTTGTTTTTTTTATTTATTTTTCTAACCTGCTGCTTGTCACTCCTTCTGCAGGAGTTACGGGAGCGTGTGCTCAGAGGGAAGTACCGCATTCCTTTCTACATGTCCACAGACTGCGAGAACCTCCTGAAACGCTTCCTGGTGCTCAATCCGGCCAAGCGTGGTACTCTCGAGGTGAGGGAGGACGCAGAAAATGTAAATATACCTCTAAGTTATTAAACCACTACCCCAGAACGTCTGCATCATTGGAGAATGCCATCTATCCTCCCCCTTCCTTCACCACCCTCCTCTCTGTTCATGCACTGCGTCATCTCCTGCATCATCTCCTCTGACGACCGTGGTGTCCTCTTTTCTGTGTGCGCCCAGTCGGCACCCTTCTACTTTATGATGTCGTCATCATCATGAAAAATGAATTGTGGGTGTTTGGGGGGTTTTTATGGGTTACTTTTTTTGTTCTACAACCAACATACTCAGGACACACTAAGATTAAAAAACAATGTAGTCCTTTTAAGAGTAAACTTGCTCTTACTGCCGCTCATCAGCGGCTGATCAAACATTTTTTAGATTTTGGCACAAGGCTTTAGCATTTAGCTGTTTGTTAATCAACTTGATGACAAGCTTGAATCTTTAAGTAATGCCAAAGTACCTATCACAAAACAGATGTTGTTGGACAAACTATAGACACAATATGTCCATTAACATAGAAGCTGCAAACTATTACAAGGGACATGAAGTAATGGAGCCTTTTGTTGGTGTTTACTAATCATTAAGGTATGTTTTAAAACTAAAAACAAGATCTACGTAGCGGTGAAATGCAGCATTCTGGCTAAAGTGTATCCCAAAAATGTGTCAAAGAATTTCAAAGGACCATTTTATATAATTTCTTTTATCTGCTGTTGACGATGTGCCAACTTAGTAGATGTACGCAACAAAAGTGCTGTCCCAGTAAAACAAATCACTTTTCAAACCATGGACTGAAGCTACAACCGTTCCTTTATCTCTGGCTATTTAAAGTCCCTTTTTTTCTGGCTCCTAAAGGGGTGGCAGATCGAAAAACTTTCCGACATTATTATTATCGTTCTGTTTCCCAGTTTATAGCCAACATGACATTGATAATTATGAGGGAAAACCTTTCTTTTCTGACTATACTCCCCTTTTTTCCCCCCTCTCAGTCAACTTAGCACTTTGTTTCAAGAGGGTAGATTTATTGTTGGTTGTTTTTCTCTTAGAAAGATGAAGGGAAGTGAATTAAAGTAAATGCGGTCGGCCTTGAGTGAGCGGCCACATCTGTCAGCTTCAGATGTTACATGACTGACCCGGTCTATGGCAGCTGCATCAGAACCCCGTCAGTGTTAATTACTTTGGCAGGGCACCTTGTTAAACCACGGAGAGCGATCGATCGGCTGCAAATTCAAAGAGAAGGTGCTAACAAACTTGCTGCAGCGCAGTTGAGTGTGGAGGTCAGCACGAACAGGCATAATGTGGACCTGTGGGATACTTTGTGTCGTCCACTTTCCTGCCATGAATTTAGTTCTTAAATGACACGCAAATTCACAAAGCAATCTGGTTCTGTTTTTTCTGCAGTGAAACAAATGTATTCTAAAGAGAAAAAAGTAACTGATGTCAGAATATTTTTTAACTTCATGAATTAGCCTCATAAATCAGCCAGGCTCTGATTTTCTCCCTTTAATTTGCAGCAAATTATGAAGGATCGGTGGATCAATTCAGGGTTTGAGGAAGACGAGCTGAAGCCGTACACCGAGCCAGAACTCGACATCACGGATCAGAAGAGGATAGGTAAAGTAGACAAATGCTTCATAATGTTTCAGTAAACCGGGTGAGCCTTCGGAAACCTCTGCCTGTCGCACACCCTGGCATGTATTCCAAAATAATTGGACATGTTCCCCTTCACGTTTGAGTCTAATAGGGAGGAACACGTGCGTGTCCTTCTTTCTTTTTTTCTTTTTTTTGTTGACGTCATCAGCTCATTATTTGAGTGCTGGAGAGCTTTTAAAGAAAGGATAGAACATGCTGCTAAATAAATGAACATGTACGGTGCTGCTGCATGAAAAGGGCGAACAACAGAAGCCTCCCCATCGTGCCCCAGATGAAAGCCGGGAATGGAGGAGGAGCTCTTGCGTAACACCAGCTGTGGTTGTACATGAGCATGTGCTGGTGAAACTGCAGCGTCTCTAAGAAGGAGAAAGCTGGGGAGGGGAGCAGGTGGGGGTGAGACGGAGGTCCGTTTGTTGCCACGGCACCAAAACGCTGCTCCTCCCAAAATGTGAACTGGGCTTTCAGGGCTGATGTCTTTGTTTGAGCTGTCATGGCACACAGAGACAATTAGATGCAGAAAAGCAATCAAGGCTTACACCTTGAAAATGAGCTTTTTCCACTTTGATTTAAGTTGAAACGAAGATTCACGTCACGGCAACAGAAAAAGATTCCGATTGCAAGTGAAACAGAAACATTTATCTATGCTCAGAGGTCAAATCCAGCCGGAGCCTGTATGGCCTCGTCGAGAAGGGACGACAGATCTAACCATTAACCTGCTCTTGTTTTATGACACAAAAAAGTCCACCATCTCTCATGGTGCTCAGATTTTGCCCACAGAGTGCAGGGGGAAAAAATAGCTCTATAGAAATCTATAAATAGCTGCCAGTTGTTATTGGCGTTGTTGTCAGTGTTTGATGGAGAAACAAACAAACAAATTGAGGCACGGTTCATCTTGTTACGGATGGGAAATAAAAGTTGAATGTTTGCTATTCTCGACTTCCTTAGAGTAACATTATCAGATGTGTTCTATTAAAGGATGCTCTTTACAGCCCACACTGAATATGTTCAATCTAAGTTTATGAATGACACTTTTTTTATCCTTAAACTTTGAATAATATGCTATTATTTTAAAATGATCGAGTATTATTAAATGTTCCTCTTGAAATTAGCCCCACCGACGTCCTCAAATTCTCTTGCTCTGGAATATGACCAGGTTATTATTTGACGTCAGGCTTTGGTTCATATAAATGCCAGTAGTTTGGTAGTAGTCTGATCCCCTACAACACATTGTTTTTAATTTTAATTTTCTAATTTTAATTCTGCTAGCTTTACTTGGGGAGCAGTCAGTTTAATATGTTGCTGTGTTTTAAGTTTCGGATTTAATGCTCCCTCATATTACCGTAAGTGGATTGACTTTGTCAAGTGGGCAGATCGTCCCATTTGTTCACGGCACTGGCTAATTTTGTCTAAAAACAACAAAAAGAGAGTGAAAACTCCTGCAGCTTGTCATGGATGCATCACCTCTGTGCTAGATATCAGGATGCAAAGAGGCGCTCTGTTTTTCCAAATGTTCTTTTGTATCCGCACCAAGCAAGAGGGAACATTTATGTAACTGACCTGACCTTTGTGACGTACAAAAAAAGATATCAATTTCTCTGATAAATCGAGGCAGCAGTGTTGCATAATTCACTTTTATGTTATCGTATTGATCAAAAGGTTATTCTAGTGAGGGAAGGAGTGCTGTAAGAGGAGGGTGAATGTAGATAGAAGATCGAATTTCACCTGGCAATGGACAGAATTTGTTTTTTGCATCTCTCCTCTCAACCTACACACGAAGCCTCATGCAGCATATACTTAGTTTGCCGTGTCAAATTTCACGTGCGTCTAAACCCATATTTATTTCTTTTTGGGTCATGCTAATGCGAACACCCAAAGCAGCCCTTCAGATCTGTATTGGATGAGTGGGAATGTAAACCAACATATTGAATCACGCATTCTGAGAATTCAAAATCCAATTAAATTGCATCCATCAATACAAATCAGAGGGAAAAAAAAGAGCTAAGAACAGGGAATATTTTCAGTTTTTAATGTGACTAAATTATTTGAAGTTGCAAAGGCACTTTATAGCACAAACCAGCAGACCAAATTTGGGAATAATGTCTATACTTTTTTTTTTTTTTTTTTTGGCAAGAAATACGTTGAATGTGTTTCACCTGCGCTGTCAGATTTTTTGGCAGGAAGTCTGAGCACATTGCTGGTAATGAAGCTCATTACTCATTTTAACGCCTTTCCTCAGAGACCAATAGCTCTGTACTAATGATGGAATCAGCCAAGAAACAGTTTTCAGATAAAAATATACACTCATCCTTGTACCCATATAGTCCCCTGATTTCTGAAAACCGCTAACAAAATTATGCTGGCTGAGTTTGGCTTCATGGTCATTTTTGTCATTTCGACTGTATTTGAGAAATTAGGATTTATCAGTTTGAAAGTCTCAGCTGAACGAACGCAAATGCCATGTTCCAAGGGGCAGGAGCAGGTTATTCGGATGCTAATTGCTTACCATTTGAAAAGTTATTTTTAAAGCAAAATTCCTGTTTGTAATGTCATTTTCGTACACGTGTGTTGTAGATATGATGGTTGGGATGGGCTACAACCTGGACGATATCCAGGACTCGTTGGGCAAGATGAAGTATGATGAGATCACAGCCAGCTACCTGCTGCTGGGCAGAAAAGCCTCTGAGGTACAAATTTCATCCTGTCAAAACAACTGAGCAAAAGGCCCAAAAGCTCAAGTTTGGTTTGAAAGAATACAACTTGTGAAGATTTTGCATTTGTACAAGAATTTCTGTGTGTAAATGCTTCATAAAAAGTATTTCACTTGACTGAATGTGCCATTGTCCCTCAGCTGGAGCCCACTGAGTCTGCCTCCAGCAGCAACCTGTCTCTGGCCAAACCAAGGCCCAGCAGCGAGCTCAATGGCCAGTCGCCCTCCCACTTAAAAGTCCAAAGGAGCGTCTCTTCCAACCACAAACAAAGGCGTTACAGTGAACAAGGTGAGACGGCTTCTTCCCTCCATTACACATTTCCCCCTAATTTAGAGTGAACCTGGCTTTACATCTCCTGCAATGTCAGATTTCAGGGAAATGAAAAGCGGGGAAATCAAATCACAAGATTGCTTTTCATTCTTTCTCTTATTAAAGGGGCTCATTGTGCTTCCTCTAAGTCTGATTGGAGAGTTTTGGAAAACTGTCATTTGAACTAATTTATCCTCACAATTTATTCAGTCTGATTACACTTAAATCGGATTAAGAACATTTATCTTTCTTTTAGATAAACATTTTAAGAAAATAAATATTTAAAAAATCGTATTTGACAGCATGAAACCTGTTTTTTTAGCATATTTTTGTCCTCCATTTTTGCTTTATTAACCTTATGATTAGCCATAGGTTACTAATGTCCATAATTGTTGGTTAAGGTTTGTGTTAATGTCATGTGTTTAGCTTTCAACACTGAGAAGCACATTGTTTTCAACCGCAGGCTAACCTCCCTTTAAAATACTTTCATGTGCTTCAGATTAAGTCCTCTGTCCTGCCCTATCAGATTTATTTATGCATATGTAGGTCATCTCATTTTAGTTAGAAAGTATTGAAATTGACGTTTTTGTGTCACCGCCTTTTCTTTGTTGTTGTTGTTGTTGTATTCGTCTTTCTCCTTAATTTGATTCATCTACAGCACGTCGGTTATTTTTCTCTGCAGTTGGTCAGAACGTTCCTCCTGGGATGGCTCATCCAAAGAGGAGTCAGACCACCACAGGAGACAACAGCACTAAGGAGGACAGTGGGGTTCAGCTCCGCAAGCCCGGCACCCCCGGGAGCCGCGGCGCTCCCCCCTCCAGCCCCCTTCTGGGCAACGCCAACAACCCCAACAAGGCTGACATCCCAGATCGCAGGAAAGGAGCCACCACTGGCCCGAGTGTGAGCATTCTTAGCCGTTGGCTCATTTGTTTGGTGGCGTCTCAGTCAGCCAGTTATCTACTTTCGTATATGAATTGGGGAAACACTTGCGTTTGAGGGTCTTACACTTCCCTGCCAGTCTCTTTTTTTTTTTTTGTTTTGGGCATTTCTTTCCTGACCGTTTTGTCTTTTGAGAGTTTTTTGGCTGCCTAAAGAGGTACTGCCCTAATTTCTCACACAGTGTTGGTTTTCAACATGAAAGAAGTCATATAAAGCCTTCATTGTTGTTAGCGGAAGCTGCGTTCTTGGTTAGGAAGACACAAGCTTAAACAAATCTACTCCTAAACTTTTGAGCTTGAATTGTGGGTAATGTAGGCTCCATTCAGAAGCAGTAGAGAATTTATTCCCCTGGGAAGTTGGGTGGGGGGGGGAGTCAGGCTGTTTCAACTCTTCCAGGTTTAACTAACTGTAACGTGAAGGCAACTAAAAGAACAGCCGTGTCCAAGCTTTCGAGCAGTGGAGTGAATGGGTCACTTGTGTCTTGGATAGTGGACAGTGGATAGTGAGGACATTCACAGCAGCACTGAGAGTTTCTGCTGCCCGTCATGGAGACAACCCAGTGACCCCCTGTTTCCAAGCAGTTCCTTTAGTTTCTGTGGAATGACCACCTCCAAAACTCACACCAAAGCAACAGCCGATGCACAAAGTTTCCTTTAAAAAAAAAAAAAAAAGCAGAAAACTGACTGTAAAGCAAATTGCCGGATGTTTATCCAATCCTTTAATCCACAAACAGGTCAGGTTCAAATTTTTTCTAATCACAATAAAAATAAAAACAAAACTTTTCTCCACAGAATAACACTGCCTCTGCGGGGATGACCCGGAGGAACACGTACGTCTGCAGCGACAGGAACAACACGGACCGTCTGTCCGTCATCCCCAACGGGAAGGAAAACAGGTGAGAGCTGAGCCTTTGCTGCCCCCCACCGCCTCTCACCACATCACTTTTTGCCTCTTTTTTATGTTAAAAGCACTTTGTTCCTTGATTTTCTTCTTGTATTCCTCCTGTTTTTCTTGTACTGACCTTTTTCCCCTTTTCTCATGATCTTTTTTTTTTTGTCACTTTTTTCAAATTCATTATTTCTGCCTGTTTGTTTGTGACTTGGGGTGTTGTTTTTTGTTTTCTTTTTTCTTCTTTTTTTTCTTGTTCTTTTTTCTTTAATTTTCTTTCCTTCCCCCGTTGTGGCATGACCAGCATGACTGAGATGGCTTGTGCCACTAGCCCCTCTTCTGCCTTTGCGGCCGATGTGTTCGGTGCCTCGTCCAGTTCGATGCAGCAGAGGTATCAAACCGTCAACCCTTTGTACGCTTGTCAGGCAGGCTGGGCCACACTGCCCCACTCCTACTACGCTCTGGACTACTGCTCGCCCAAGTAAGACGGCAGGGCCTCCAAACTCCCCCCTCCCCCTGGCCTCTCCTCATGTCTCAGCCCGTTTGGCCCCTCGCTAACCCACACATCCAGCCAGCTTCACGCTCTGTAACCCCACAACTAAAGCATGGACATCATTTCTTCCAAAAGTAATCAAAGGCAAAATGCTGTTTTTGGTGAAAGTCTGAAATATTTAGCTCATCTTCTGCCAGAACCACGTATTTTTATTTTATTTAAGAAAAATAACTATAGAGATAAAAAGATATAGAAAAAGAAATAAATCAGTTTGATTTTGTGGTGGTTTTAAGGAAGAGTAGCAGCTGCTTCCACACACAATTGACGCCTGTTTTCCAGAAGAAAGAGCTGAGAATGTGACTGTTTTTCCTAACCTATCACTCACAAACTCCTTAGGAGGTTTTTTCGGTGGGGGAATGCCCTCCCAGCTGGAAGGTAACTGTTGAAAAAAACAAGCAAAGTGCTCCTTTGAGCAGCTATGACTATGTAAGACTGTAAGAATGCGCACGTTCTCCGGACTGTTTAGAAATTGTCCAGACAGCACGTTGACCGTTGGCGGTCTCACATAATATCCCCTCAGGAACACAAGTGTGTTTGAGTGAGTGAGAAAGTGGCTCTGGTCTGATTATGTATTCAGATCAAGGATCACTTTTCTTTTTACAGTGAACCGTCTGCTGATGCACAAGCGTAAAGTGTGTTAATATCCTGAGAAATCAACCAGATTTCTGATTAATTTGTGTATCAACAGTAAAGCGAAAAGTAAATTTGAAATGAGATACGGTTTGGTCTGAGAAAGACTTCAGATTTTTCAAAATTTTTTATCACCTGTTAAAGAGAAATTCATTTGAGGAAAAAATAGGATCAAAATGTGCTGAAACCAATGTCTGCAAGGAAAATTCCTGAAAACCCTTAATAGAAAAAAAGCACATGGATCTTTAAATGGTTTTAGCTCAGCTTTATGATGCCTAAGCTTTTATGTACAGAGGACCCTTTTAGGTCCCCCACAAAGCTGTACATTTTAACTTTAACCTGGACTTGGCACACGCTGAGCTTTATTTCAGACATTCCTAAAATTAGAGGAACCAAACGTGAAAAAGTATTTATCCACACACCGGCCTGGCTTCTGCGGGTGGGTACGGTGGTGTGCGTGATGATAGTTTTTCTACGTTCCCATCCGTCCTCTGCTCATCATGAACCAGACACCCTCTTGCCTCCGCTGCAGACCTCTTGAAAAAATAACAAGCTCTCGCGGCTCTGCTCCTGATCTCACCTCCATCCTCTGCTGTCGACTCCGAGCCCAACGTCTTCTCCGCTCGGAATCTCCCTGGCCTGTCCGCCTCCAGCAGGACGGGCCGAGCCCCCCCCCCCACCTCCACCCCCTGCTGTCCCGGCAACCTGCGTCAAGTCTGTTTCTGCTTAGACTCTCATTGGGAAAGCGTACACATTTCTTTTTCAAGTGCTTTCATGTCAAAAGAAAGACTATTTTTCGCTAGTGTTCTTTTCGTTTGTTTCAAATGCCTAAAGCAGCAGGATTTCAAATGTTTTCCTCTGCAGAGATTGTGCTATGGAACAGTTTCTGTGTAATGTTGATTACTTCTCTGTACAGTTAGAGGATGGTTAAGATAAGAAGAGTAAAAAAAAAAAAAAAGAAAAAAGGGTCTCTCTATAGTAAACGTATATGGTGAAGCTGTCTTTTTCATATCCCACCCACCTCAGCAGTGTTGCGGTGTCGCCCAGCAGCCAGCGGAACCCGGTGGCCTCCACCCATAGCATTACCAACGCCACCACGCCCGACCGTCTCCGCTTCCCCCGCGGCACCGCCAGCCGCAGCACCTTCCACGGCGGCCAGCTGAGAGACCGCCGCACGGCCACGTACAACGGGCCGCCGGCCTCGCCCACCCTCTCCCACGACGCCACCCCGCTCTCCCAAACCCGCAGCCGCGGAACCAGCAACCTTTTCTCCAAGCTCACATCCAAACTGACCCGCAGGTAGGCGAGGACTCACCTCCAACCAGGTTAACCCCCTGGCTGGAGTTTGGTTTCTTTCTTTTCAGTGTGACTGAACCTCAGAGATCCAGCACCACAGTCGTTTATGTTAAGAAGTTTTAGAATTGCCCCTTTTTTTTTTTTTGCTGAAAGAGAAAGGGGACACACCACAGCCCTGCTCTGTGCAGCAAAAATTCTGCCAAACTTGTATCGGGTTTAGAGGCCTACAAATGCTGTGCCTTCTTAGAGTTGGGATCTTTAATTACATGGTGGGGGGAACCCTTCTCTGTCCTGCTGAATGTGATTTTGAAAATCTAAATTGTTTATCTGTCGCTGCCTGGTTGCCTGCCAGAGAAACACAAAACTTCTGCAAGTGAGCTGCATACTGACCTTTTTTTTTTATTTTATTTTTACATGAAACTGATGACAGTCCTCAGCTCCTCAGATGCCAACGATTGTATCAGCCAGTGTTTAATTCAGTATTCAGAGTCCCTCCATTTAAAATCTGAAAAAAAGTTTCAGCAAAGAACAAATGGGACAAAGTTTTTTTTTTATTTTTTATTTTTTTTTTTTTAAGAGAAATGCTGAAAGGATAAATTTAACAATGGTGCAAAATGACCCCTTTTTTAACGCCGTACCCTGCTGCTCCAGTGCACCACGTTTAAGCCTTCGGCAGAGACTCTTTCTATGTCATAAATGTGTAGATAAGTCTAAGTCACATGACCACTGATGTGCAGCTTATAATGAAGCTTAAACCCTTTCTGACTGTTACATTTTAGCGTCCACAGTCTTTTGTAAAACAAAGACTGGCCTGACTGGTCAAGTTATTTCAGAAGAATAGCAGGATACAGCAGCATCCTTTACCAAGAGATACCTCTTCAGAAGATTGAACAGCAAATCTTAACCCACAGAGCATTCATGATAAACCCATTGGGGATTATCACGTAAGAAATTTAAACGGCACCTTTAGTGTAAAAACACTAAGACTGTCTATTTTATTTTCATGACTCAAAACGCACAGTACGACAATAAGGCCTTCATTTCTGTCAAAGCTAACTTGAAGCCTACCTTAAAGCTGAGGTCAGGACAGCCCAGCAGAACTTTTCTGTGAACCATTTATGGAAGCGGCAGCCAGGTCAGCGACATCACTGCCCGCAGCAGCTGACCTATGAGGAGAAATGAGGAACTGAAGTCATTTGATAACATCTTTAAAAAAAACAAACATGTAAATGTAAAAAAAATGTAATTTAAAAAGGGAGAAAAAAAGAGAATGCAATAGCTAAAATGAACTTCCACTCACCGCTAATTATTCCAATCATCCCGTTTCTGTTGGTTCATTCAGATTCCTCATGCCCCCTCCCCTCCTCCCTCCACCTCTCTCTCACCATTCTCACAGTTTCTTTGTCTGATTCTGTTGTAGAAACATGTCATTCAGGTTTACCAAAAGGTAGGACTCCTGTACTGCCTTTCCGTACCAGACAATTAACGCGACCAATCTCACCAAAACAACTCTGAAACTCTCTGACGAGTGGGGCTGCTGGCACCGAACTAACACACCGCTTTAGCAGAAACTCATCTCTCCCTGGGTGCATCCACACAAGCGCACACACTGTAATCAGGTTAATGTTCAACAGACATTGGATTGGTGTGTTTCCTTGTTTAGAATGAAGCTGCAACCAGTAAACGCCTCTAGCTTTAACACGGTGTTCTCTAAGAGACAGTTTTTTCTTCATAAAGGGGTTTGTTAATACCCCAGAGGATGTTGTTAATTTGTCTTTAACATCCCTCAAAGAAAAGAAAAGAAAAAGAAAAGTTCATCTGGGCACATATTGACAGACAATGCTGAACAAATATATCAGACCACAGCTGAAATAACAGCACTGGTCGTTACCGAAATAATCTTTCTGTAATAGTAAATACACAAGTATATACAAGCTCTATGATATAATTATTGTAATCAATGCTAACAGATATACTGTTTTTATTTTTTTTTAACGTAAAAAATAGTCAAGAACATACATATTTCTTGATTAATATGTCAAAATAGAATAGTTTCACTGAGCAGAAAATATAGTCGGGAAATGGGAAATTTGCTTCTTCTAAATCCAAAGGGTTAGGGTAAAATTTTCTGAAAATTCGAAAAAGGAGTAGTCTGCCTTTTTAAACTCGGCTGAGACATCAAGTGCAAACACCTGGTCCGACTGTGTACAGCATTCAGCGGGAAAAATTAGTATTTCGTCAAGCCGATTAGAAAGGCCCCGTCTGCTGGCTGTAGCTTCATATTTTTATTATTATTCATAGAAATAGAATTCAACGGGACCACTACCTAAACTGCCACACTGTCCCTTTAAGAGGGATTTGCCAAAATAAGTACCGAACTGATCATTTGCCATTAATCTGACGGTAACTGGTGTGAATGTGTGTTTAAATGCACTCAGGGGGGCTGCGGGTTGGTTTGAGTGAGAAAAAAGGCTGATTGGGAGAGCGGACCAGAGTCCTCGAACAATCAGTGGATTAACCAACAACAAAGCGGCTTGCCACTAATCAATCGCCAACGCATGCATGGGGCCGCTTCCTCCAGCTGCCATTGATTGTGGTCTGTGATTGTTGTTTCTAACTGAACTTTGCGCCATTACTCTTGCTGCATTATTCACAAAACATGTATTTATTTTCCCCCTTTCTTAGAGCCTTTCAGAAACATGAATAACAGATGTTTGGTAAATGCAGCCTCGTGCAGGAGTGGATGTAACATTCTCTTCATTTCACCACATAAACTTGTAATAATGGGATATTGAATCCAAGGGAAAATATTTCCTTAAAAAAAAAAATCTGTTATCTTTTATGAAAATTTTATGTTTATTTATTTAAAGTGTTTTTTGAGACCATCAAATCCTTTGGACGCTTCGGAGTAATAATTCGCCCTTGTTCTTAACTCAACTTTTTTTTCCCATTTCTCACATCCTGTTCAACACCAAACTACCAAAGAACGTTGAACTGTAAATACAGTCTCATTTGTTTAAACTCCAAAATACTGGGCTAAGTTAAATTTATCATTGAGCATTGGAACCCAATTTTTTCTCCCCGTCTCCGGTCTTACATAACAGCTGACGACATTGGGACCATTCAAGCTTTTTACATCTTGAACCTCTGGTGGCTCTTCTTTATGCTTTTGGGTAAAAATAAGAAAGGGAATTTTTAGATGAAAGAAAATTAGCCAAATGGGGGATGAATTATGCATGCGAGGAAAAATCAATGACAGCTGCTGTTTGAGTTCCCTGCCAAAGGAAAACCGTTTGGATTTTAGACTCGTATGGTGATTTATAAATTGGTTTTGCTTGTGAGAGGGTAAGCTTAAGGGATGAGTACTCTGAATGTTAAACCAAGTGTTTTTTAAAGCTGTAAATCCAGGTGTTGTGTTGTCCCCTATTCAGGCCGCTATTATGACTTGAAACATCTGAGAGGATTGATCAAACTATTATGATTATTGAGCACGGAGCCCTATCGTACGGAGGCTCATAGCACCTCCCAGTGGCTGATTTCTAGAAACTTGTCTTCATCTGGTTGTGTCACGATCTGGAGCCGCTGCTCAGTCTGAGCTGTCATCCTCTCATCCCGACAGCCTCATTTTGGGTTTTCATGTGTCATAAGTTCATTGGGGCTTTAAAGGTGGACAAATGTGGTAAAAGGTTTACAACGCCTTCTTTAGTAACCCGCCCCCCCTCCCGATTGAAACGGCAACGTTACATGTCACGCGTTCTGTTCCGTCCCGACCCCTTTGATAACCTTTTACTACATTTTGTCTGCTCTGGGCCTCCATACTTTTCTGCTGTTTACGGCTCATCTCATCTTGGGACTTGATCCGTGAGTTTTTTGCCATTTTCCTCCTCCTCAGGATGTTTTAGTTTTCCTCACCTCCTGCTCTCACCTCCACTGCTCTCCTCACAGTTTTCGTGGTTTTTGTCCTCCTTACCTTCTTGTGTCCTTAACCTTTACCTCTTGCTGCTCTTCCTCTCTGCTCAGGGTCAGTATTGACCCGACCAAACGGCAGGCGGCCAAAACAGGGCCTGCCAACCCTTCTACCCAGGGAGGAAAGACCCTTAGTAAGTCTTCTGCCCTTCAGTCTCTATCGGCGTTTCCTTTCTTCCTTCCTTCTCATCACCCTTCCATGTTGCCCCATGTTGTTTTTCTTTTTTCTTTTTTTTTGGCCTGTTTTCATGCCATTCATCGGAAAATATTCTTTCCCTCTCTCTTTCTTTTTGTCATCACGCGTCCATTGAGTTCCATTTTTCCATTCCCTCAGATTCCCATCTTTTTTTCTTTCAGATTCACAAGCAGAAGATATAGAGAGTTGTAGGACGATGAAGATCTAGAGTAAGGGCTGTTTCAATCCCTCAATTTCCCCCCCCCCCCCCCCCAAGAGAAAAAAGAATGGTCCCCAACCGTCTTCCCCCCCCCCCCCCCCCTTCTTTCCAGCCTCACCCCCTCGGTCTTGTGATTTTTCACAGCCTCTTTAGCCGACTGGAGGCCAGCTGTCCGTCCTGTCTGTTCACTCGTCCTCTTGTTGTCGAGTCCCTCTAGCTGTCGGGAGTTCGGAAGTCTCTCCCTCCACTCGTCCTGTTTTTCCGTTCTGCAGGCTGCAATGCATGATGGGAGCCTGTCACAACACACCCATTTCTGTCAGAGGAGCCAGGGAGCTTACTGATAACATTCCTTTTACAGTTTGGCCGAGCCGCTGTTTGAGCCCCCCATTTTTCTACTTGTTTTCATGAAGTTTCCGTTTATTTAATTTTTTAAAAGTTGATTAAGAACCAGTATATGATCACACATGCACATTGTGCCCTTTTGAATCTGTTTTTTGTGAGCCAAACATGATTTTAAAGCAGTAATTTATCAGAATATTATTTTTAAAAACCTTGAATTTTGTTTAGTAATTTCATATAAGTGTACCCTAAGTTTTCCTTCTGCTCCATTAAGACACTTAAAAGATAATTATTCGGTGATGGAAAGAAATACGTCAATCTCATCACAGATCTCCTGTTCTCCACATTTATGGAATGGTTTTGTTGATGTTAGTCTGCAAGATAAAGGGCATGTTTAGCTTTTTAAATGTTTTTATAGCTGTGGGAATGTCATGACATGTAAAGCTTTGGAACAGATTGTTGTCAGAGGAACATTTGGTTTGATTCATCGTCTTTTTCCAAGCATGAGCCTCCCGTTTCTCGGAGCGTCTGTATGACTTTGTTGTACGCATCTGTCTTCATGCTCTAGAGCACCAACTCAAGGCCTTCTGGCCACAAATGGCCCGCATTACAATTCCATACGATCCTCGAGATGATAAAGATTTTTTTTAGCAATAATGAGCCATCGGTAAATGGCTGCCCAAACCATCTGTACTACAGATCCCACAATGCACCGCAACAGCCGACACATGGCCAGACATTCGCATTAACGTACCCTCGTGCTTCACTTTGCAGTCAAGATTCCACTCAGCGGACGAATACAGGCACAAAAGATAAAAACAGAAAATAAGCTTTGAAAACAGATACTTGAAAAGCAGGAGGGTCTTTGTCTGTCTGTCGGAGGTTAGCCTGACAATGTAACCGTAGTTGAACTAGATATTAACATGAAGCTTGCATAATATAGACGCATAACATGTAGACACACGAAAAGCAGAAGATATTCAAAATGGTCCGTCACAAAACTAGTTTAGAAAACTAATTGGCTTCTAACGATTTCTCTTTCATCACCTGAAGTGTCATTATCGTATTTACTTCTATTTGAACCTTTTCAGCAGCTTGTTCACATTTAAAGTCTCATCGCAAAGAAAAACACATTGCTTAGATTCTATTTGTTCTCGTGAAAAAAATAAGTTTATACAGTCTTGTATCTGAAGTCACATTTACGAATAGAACAGTTTTAGACCGTTTAGAAATGTCACTCCTGTTCGACCCGTAACAAAAATCCGGTCCTTACACGACTGAGTTTGTCAACACATACAGCAAAACAGGTTCATTACAGAATAGTTTGTTTATCTTTTGGAAAACGTAACGCCAGTGTTTTTGGAATTAAGACATTATAAGGCGAAAGATGTTCATATTGATGTTTAAATAGCTTGATTTCAGGCCTCTAAAGAGACCTAAAAAAAGAATCAGTTTGGATTCAAATCAGTGTAAATCTTGGATATAAAGTCTGCGCACGTTTAAAAAAAAAAAAAAAAAAAAAAAAAGCAAAGATCTTTGGCTGCCTGTGCCTCTCTCTGCTATCCGTTATTCTGCTGCTGTTTTTGGGTGGACGCTCCTCCTCCTCCTCCTCTCTGTGTGTGCTGCTGCGGGTTTCTGTTTGAGACGAACATCCATCACCGTTGAGTTCTCTCATCCGGTCTTTAAATGGAAGTCCAGTCTTCCATTTCTTTGTATTTCCTCTCATTCCTTTGGGTTTGGTGGCTTACTTGGCCGTTCACGTTCGTCACGCTCTCTTTTTCTTCTTTTTTTTTTTCCTTTTTTTTTTTTTTAAATGGCATTCACTGGAACTGATCTGAAATTGTTTCTGTCGTACACGACCCACAATCTTTTTTTGTTTTTGTTTTTTTGTTTTATCTCCCTCCCCTCACCCCGACTCCCTCCCCCCCTCGCCTTCGTTGTCCGATCTTCGCGTGCGCCCCCAGAGTCTCAACCGAGTTTGAGAGAAACGGGAGACTTGAGGGCTCAAGGTGAGGTTATGTGTCCTCAAAGCCGACTTCCAGTGCTGCCCCCCCCCCCCCCCCCCCCCCCCCCCCCCCCCC